AGAAAATCTGTTCAAATTTGAAAATACAGCCAGGACTGGAGCTTATATAAAATTTTGAAACGATGAAATATTTTCGTAAATCAGATTTTCGTCCAATGGTGGCACAAATTGCCAGTCAATTCTATTAGAAACCGAAACCTTCGAAATAGTGCATTTCAAAAGGTTCTACGTTATGGAGATCAAACAAATTATGGGTGTCTTAAAATATGGAAAGCCAAATTAAAATATGGAAAGCCAAATTATAACGAATTTGGCGAAAACTACTTCAGATCAATCTCTAAACCGATTATATTGGACTGCCAACTCAAAATTATTTTGTTTTCTTCTACTGATTGAATACCATCACCTCAACCCTAGACCAACTAACAAGCAAAGCGATAAAAAAACTTGAAAACAATGTAAAATTGCAAAAGAATGGGATATATGGGGTTATTTGCCACACATTTTCTGTGAAGAGGGGGTTCTACCCTTTGAGAAACCAAAATGAAGAATTACAGCACATTTATTTGAAAATATGGCAGAAAACTTCGATTTACACCTCACAAAGAATTTAAAATGTCAAAGCTCAGACGAATTAGTTTCACCATATTTCCAAGACTCCAAAAAACACTTCAAATAGGATTAGATTTTAATATGGACAAAATAGCAAACCAGGGATCGAGATGTAGAAATTTATATCAAATTTCGCCTGTATTAGGTCTTACAGGAAAAGATAATACAGGAGGTAGATAATTTTTAAACGTTTTTTAAGTCTTGAACTATAAACTTTAACCAATATTTTGAAACACGCTCTTCTTTAAAAAACGAATGTCGATTGTTGTACCCTTGAATAGAATGTCAATATATAATCTGTTGAAACTGTTGAAGCTATAAACGAATATAAAATTTACCTTTCTTAATTCTAAAAAATTGCGCTACTTGATTTTCTTGTTTCTGGAATTTCTTCTTTCGAAATGCATTCATTAAAGTTGAAGGACTTGATTAGGTTTCGAGTTTTTATTATTCCCCGACTTTGACTTGCTTATTCTAGTATTTGCTCCTTACTTCTTTCCTTAAAAGCTATTTTGCTGTTTATTGTAGATTTTTGGAATTTGTTTGCTGATTTTCTTGACTTTTCATTTTATATTTCTTTTGTTATAAAATTCATTTCACGTTTTTTTTTCGTATCACTTGGAGTCTTAAATCATAACTAAATTAGACATTTATTAATCCATTGAGTAGTATATAGCCATCAATGCTATACGGAGTTCATCTAGAGCTAACCGCCTCTTTGCGGGCAGCATCTTGCAGCAATTGTGTGTCAACCTCATCGCCCGGCAGTTGGACATAGCGTACAACGGAACCACGTATGAAACAATTTTTCACCGACAACATGTGGGGATATTTCTCGGGATCGGTGACACTGATGTCTGTGAGTTTTATATTCAAATATTGGTCCACCGAATGCAAAGTACCGCAAATACTGCAAGACATGAATGAACAAATTAAACATTTGCGAAAATTGGTGGGAAATTGGCATTGCTTACCTCAAGTCATTTTTTAGCTCCACCACAACATCTTTGCCGACCAGCGATTTGAAAAATGAATAAAACAACTAGAAGTATTAAAAGAGGTTTGAGTTTTTAATATTTTTAGAGGAAAATATTAAATATACTTGCCATTTTACAGGAATTTATTAATTTTTGCCGGATAAACAAAACGTTTCAATAACCAACCGATAACTAGTGTTGCCTAGGTCGTAAATTGCCTAGTTCAATTCACTAAACGATTCATTAAAGGGAGCAACAGATCAAGTTCTACCCAATGTAGAACACTTCTCTCCAAGCATATTTAGACAAAACTGGCTCACATCATGTAATATTTGAGGCGTTTTAATAATATATTTAAGCTCATGGTGCAATAAAAAGGCAAGGTAGAGCTACAGCTGATAACAATTTTTTTCTAAGTGTGCCGGACTTCTACCTACTATGTGTATATATTTTTTTAATAATTTTTTAAATAAAAACAAAATATGTTCAATACAAATGAGTGGAAAAAACGTACATTTCGGGTCGCGCACCATATCTATTTACCAGTTTTGCCATGAAATTAAAAGATTGAGCACTTTCCCCACAAAGATGTCATGTTTATATAGATTTAAGACCTGATTCAGACTTAAGCCCAAGAAAAGATAAATTAAGTTTGTCTTCTTAAGATAAGAGTTTATTTATTAGTTTATAAATAAGAGATTATTCATTATTTTTGTAAAATATGCCATACATAAATATTTTAGGTATGAATATAATTTTTGTTGGAAAAATGACATTGTCGAGTTCTTTGGAAAAGGGTTGCCATACTGAGTTTCGCAAATAAAACTACCTCTATTGTTTTGTCATGCCCTTTACAAAGATATGTGATATAACTACGGGTTATTTAATCCTTTTAGTGTATATAATGTTATAAACATTTAGTTGACAGATTTGTCTATATTAATTTAATTTTGGTGTCAGATGGTGTTAAAGAGTAACGGTTTGTGGCATGGCTATGCCGGAACACCATCTATTGGTGTTATGAAAGATATAACTATAATAGAGTTCACTAGATGGGGTTGTGAACATACATTTTCTATAAGCCCAATATATAAAAGCAGCGGTGCTCAAAACCGTGTTCTAAAACATGAACCGAAAAAAGAGATAATTTAAGAGAAAATTAAAATTCTGTTTTTCTTTATATTTTACGGTTCTATTAAATTGTTTTTAGACACGAATGTTTGCCAAATTAATTTATAAAGCAAATGGATAAATAATATTTGTATAAATAATGACTTAACACTGTTTTGTTATTGATTTAAATAAGCAAAGAGAAATTTGACTGAAAAGAGGTATTTTTTCTTGAGTACCGCTGATAAAAGCGAAACACTTTCAAAGAAGCGGCATCGAATCTATAAATCACTTTAAAAAAATTCTTGTCATTTGTTGTTAGTCAACCGTTTGTAACACATGGAAATATAGATTTTAGATCCCACAAAGTGTATATTTTTTTGATCAGTATAAATTTCTATGTCGATGTCCATCCGTCTGTGGAAATAACTCTAGCTTCGGAACGAAATAAAGTAGGTTAATAAAATTTTACTCAGATGTACAGGGTGAGATAAAAAAACTGCAGCAAAACCAAACGCCATAATTTGTACTATTTTTAATCAAAAATTTCAAAAATGTCGGAAATAGCATCAAATTTTTGAATAAGTTTAGATGTGTCTGAATTGGTCACCTTTGACAAGAATTATGGACTTCAAACGGCCAATGAAACCGTCACAAGCTGCCCGAATGTTGCCCTGCGGTATTTTGGACCATTCCCGGCGAAGCGCTTGCTTGAGATGATCGGCACTTTGGTATTTTTTAGTGCCAACCTTGCTTTCCAAAATACTCCAGACACAATGGTCCAACGGATTGGTATCCGGAGATTTTGGTGGCCATTGTGCGCTGGAAATAAAGCAAGGAACCTCATTTTGTAAACATTCTTGGGTGGCGCGTGCTGAGTGCTATGGTGCTGACTCCTGTTGGAATGTCCAAGGTCTGCGGCCAAAATGTTTGCGTGCCCAAGGCTTAAATACACCCTCCAGAATATTTTCGCGATAATATTCGGCACGGTCACGGGCGATGATATTGCCACGGTCGATTTATACGAGCGGAGAGGGACCATCGGCTGTTATGGCGGCCGGTGCTTGATTTCTGTTGGTCAACCGAAGGTGAACATTTTCAGCTGACGGTGTTGAGTCCTGTTGGAATGTCCAAGGTCTGCGGCCAAAAAGTTTGCGTGCCCAAGGCTTAAATACACCCTCCAGAATATTTTCGCGATAATATTCGGCACGGTCACGGGCGATAATATTGCCACGGTCGATTTATACGAGCGGAGAGGGACCATCGGCTGATATGGCGGCCGGTGCTTGATTTCTGTTGGTCAACCGAAGGTGAACATTTTCAGCTGACCTCTTTGGCAAGTGAACACGATCTTTTTGCTTGTTTACAAACTGCTGGACAACGAATGTTTTCGCATCGGAAAAAATCAAATTCGGCAGTTCACCACTTTCGGCCAAGCGAAGCAACTCTTTAGCTCTTTTGAGTCTATTTTCTTTCACTTGTGGTGTAAGTTCTTGCACTTTTTGAAATTTCAATGGCTTTACCCCAAGAGCTCATTTTTCAATACTTGACGAATTGATTATTGCGATATGTTCAGCTCATTACTTTTCGAACCATTTCTACTGATTTCTTCCGTCCACTTCCTTGACATCGGGCTACGCTAACAGTATCACGGTAACGAGCGTTGGTACGAGACACCAAAGATTTATTCATATTTAAATGCTGGAGTGCTCTAAAGATAGCCAGTTGTGGTTTTCCAGCCAAATATAAAAAAATTACACCATCACGCTTGAAAGTCATCACGACTAACTTTGTTGTGGAAAGTTTTTACCAAAATGCTTTTGTACGCTTGTAAACAATATAAAGAGCTGTCACTGGAATCATTTTAACAGTTGTTGGACGAGTGGCTTAGAAATGACAGCAGTCGGAAGTAGGTTGCCGTTTTTTCATCTCAACCGCCGCCCGTCCTGCGTATCCGGTTCCCTCTTTGGCTGCCGTTCGTCCATTTTTTGTCCCTTATAAAAATATATATTCTGCTCTCTGATTATAAAGGTGTTCAAGTATGGGTAAACTTCACATGCCTATGTCAAGAGTTTAAAACATATAGAGCATTGCCATTCTCCGTTTTCTTCACAATGCAAAATAGGTTGTCAACATATTTGATAAATATTTTTGGATTTATTGTAAGTTTCTCCATTGTAGCGAACAATAACTACTCCATTTCATGTTTCATGTTTCCTTTCGCAAACCTTTCATGTATAGAATATCTCGATATCATATGCTAAACACATTCGCATATATAATACGACTTTAAATTTTGTGTTTAGTTAATAATATATGATTTTTTTATTCATAAACATTTGTTTATATATATATGATAGGTGTATATATATTTTTTTAACATTATTTCAATAAATTTTAAACAATATTATAACTAAGTGACCAGCCTGAACCATCAAAATTCGGTGTGGTCTTCGATATTAAACGCACTACATTTGACGATGATTTAATTATTTCCCTAGGTGTATCAGGTCCGCACAATGTCTTCAACGGTTGTTCACTGCCATCGGGCATAATGTCGTACATTTGTAAATAGTCCAAATGACAATTGGCAATGGTGCCCATATTGAAGTCGAGAAATTTAATTTTTACACTATTTGGAGCTGGCACCTGAATGATCCATGAACAATTTGTAAACATACGTTCATTCTCATAATTTGGACTAATGATAAGGCCTCTGTGCAAAGTATATGTACCACCACAGCCGGGAATCGAAGTACGTTGGCTGATTGAATAGAATACCAATCCGAACGTTACATTTACAGCCTCAATGCGCACCGTGCTCGTGTTAAGAAAAACAGCTACCGGTTTAAGAATATCTTCCGATCGATGGAAAACGGTAGTGTTGGTCTTGAGGTCAACTATCTGTAGTGACAAGATTTTTTTCTTAAACGAATTCAACTTTTTTTTTTCAAGGAATTAGCCTACCTTGTAATGTTTGCCTTCATTGGGGTCACCAAACATTATGTCCCATATATAGAAATTGAGGTTGGTGTTTTCGGCAACAGTAACATTTGTTTGGCAGTTTTTCACACTGTACAAATAGTCCAAAAGTCCATTTGGATGAGAATATGTCTGACCGCATACTAAAAATGACAGAAATATATGTAATTAAATTTTCGTTTCTAAATAGTAAAATTTTAAATTGAAATGTTATTTTTTCAGCATTTTGACCATATACAGTGAGCATCAATATAAAGTATACAATTTTTGTATGACCGAGCTGCTTTGGGTTGTGGTAAAGCAACCATTCCTTTACTAGCATAGCAATATGCTTAGGGTCATTATTTTGTTAAAACCATGAAGATTTACTCAAGCCAAATTTTTCGATGTCTGCAAATATATGATGTCTGCAGGACTTTTGGTATTGAAAATGGGTCATGTAAGTCCACGTTTTGGTATAGCCCCCATATAACGGTACCTCCCGATATTCGGTATTTTGATGATTTTAGCTAAATTTTTCACCGGAATTGTTTCAAATTTGATATTTGAAGTTCGCAATGGGTACTAAAGCCTATGACAGAAAATTGTCTGTGCAGGTCCACGTTTTCGTATGGCTTCCATATAATAGTACCTTCCGATATTCGGTATTTTGATGATTTTAGTGACATTATTCACCGGAATTGTTTCAAATTTGATATTGGAAGTTTGAAACAGCCTAAGACAGAAGATTCTCTGTGCAGGTCAACGTCTTCGCATAGCCCTCATATAATGGTACCTCCCGATATTCTGTACTTTGATGATTTAAGCAATATTATTCACCGGAATTGTTTCAAATTGGGTATTTGAAGTTCGTAATGGATACTAAAGCCTATGACAGAAGATTGTCTGTGCAGGTCCACGTCTTCGTATAGCCCCCATATAATGGTAGCTCCCGATATTCGGTATTTTAATGATTTTAGCGACATTATTCACCGGAATTGTTTCAAAGTTGGTATTTGAAGTTCGAAATGGGTACTACAGCCTAAGACATAAAATTGTCTGTGCAGGTCCACGTCTTCGTATAGCCCCTATATAATAGTACCTCCCTATATTAATGATTTAGCTACATTATTGACCGAATTTTTTCGTTTCGCATTGAATATTAAAATGACTTATGACAAAAGTTACATATGCAGGTCCTCGTCGTTGTTTAGGCTCTAATATGATAGCAACATCTGGCATTTTTAAGATTTTAACAGAATTTTTAACGAATTTTATTTATTTTTTTATTTAAAAATTGCCAAATTCGTTAAAAATGGTGGAGGGTATTCAAAGTTCGGTCCGGACGAACTTAAAGCTTTTTCATTTGTTATTTTTCCAAATTTTGACAGTTTTTTTTTCTCAAATTTGCTTTCGTTGCTTAACAGGGCATTGCTCCAGAAAGAAATATATTTATTTTCATTTTTTATCGGATACAAAAAGCGTCGCTTCTGATTGGTCTCTGTAATGTATTCGAGGATTCGATCAGAGATGCTATTTTCATGCGGCTCCCTACGTACTGTACTGGCATTTTTGTTTACGCCTGATAACTCCGACACATTGTTCGGTATTTTCAGAGGGATTAGCCTCCACCGTTCGTATTATTCTTCGAATTTGGGTCGTCGTGGTCTCCGAGGATAATCAATATTCTGCAATTTTCCAGCCTTTTTGTATTTGTCAATAATTTTTTAAGGAATTGTGATTTCTTTTGATTACATCGCCAATTTCTTTTAAAGTTTTTCCAATGGTAAGATTAAGAAGGTAAAGTCATTTCATTTTGATGAAAAAAAAAAGGCCAAAAAACTTTTTTTTTTATAAGAATGTGTGAATAGTGATCTCGAATGTATATTTATATGACCAATTGAGATAAAATGGTTAATTTTTTTAAATCTTTCTGCTTCCCACATCGGGTTTTTGACGCGTTAAATATGAATTGCATGGTACAATAGAAATGCCAATTTATTATAATAAAGCTAATGTTGAATAATTCTGACAGAAAGCTGCCATAGCTTTAGCAGCTTTATTTCAGTAGTTTTATGAAGTTGTTCTATCTCCTTATTGTACCATGTGTACCAGCAGTAAATAGTATTTTGACTGTTACATTATCAACCTACTAATCCCAATACCAATTAGGGATACCTAAGTCGACTTTCGACTAATTGATTAATAGTCTCTGTGATGAAAAGTAAAATATTATGTCAATTTTGTCTACTCTCCATACGACCTTAATCGTTTGAAGAGTCTTAATCAGAAAATAATTTATAACTGATTGGACAAAATATTCTTTATTTGATTGGCTCGTAGAATTTTTCTTGGATTGCGGAGATATTCTATGTCACGATCCTTAATATTTCCCCAAATCAATTTCCCATGTTCTCCCCTCTTTCAATATGTCCTCCCAATTTCCTGCAATACATACCACTTATAGGCTCAATTACAAGTTGAAATCCTTTAGCTTCCTCCGTGGCGTCACTGTGAAAAGTTATTTCGAATTTTTTATCTACTACTCCCCATTCGTATCCCAGATACGAAGAGCTATGGCCACAAAGTTGATGGAAATTCTATGAATGAAATCGATACTTATACACATTTCCATGATGATTTAAATTTTCAGTACTTACATAATATCTATTCACTCGTATATAGTCCAAACATTCACCAGATATTTGTGATACATTTTGCAAATCAATGTAATTGAATCGCAACAAAACCGGCCTGCTTATTTTGAAGCGCCATGTACAATGTAAATTCGGACTATATGTTGCTTCGTGATTCTGCGGCATAGTTATGGTGTATCTCTGAAAACGTAAAGGTGAATGGAAAAGCTAAGGTTAAAATGCAATTGTCATAAAAATTGATATAATTGGAGAATCTGTGAAATTTTGCTTAATTCAAAGTAATCTAATTTCAATAATAATATCAAGATCTGCTGTTCCAGAACGGATCGTTTCTATCATGGCAGAAGAATACAGGTAGATGCATCAACGCTTGGGAGCATTGATATGTCAAAAAAATTTAAATGTTTTTTCAAATATAAGTAGATTTTTATATGTTTTCTTATACTACGTCATTCGGAGGCTATTATAATTCGCGTTTTTCAACAATTTTTACAAATTTAAATAATTTTTCATTTAACCTTTTCAATTCCAAAATTGGTTTGACAGTTCATTGTCCCAGCAGCTGTGTCGACGCATCTACCTATATTCTTCTACCATGGTTTCTATGCACTAATAACAGAACCTATCATAGCTGTACACCTGCTATTATCTTTACTATCGATAATTATTTGTGTTACCACTTCCTAGTGAATTACCGCTACCACTTACCATTTCATAGAGAGTTACCACTGTTTCCTCTTTCATCGGTTTGTCACTACTGAGTGCAATTTCTTTATTTTAATTTTGATTACTTAAAAAAGGAGACACAAAACTACTTCGAGTATTTGTACAGGGTGGCCCAGAAAGACCGAATTGGTGTGAATTTCTTATAATTTTTTTATTATAGTTCATTTTTTCTTTCAGTATTTTGTAAAGAAGACTTGGGCAATTTATAATAGAGCAACAAACAACTGAACATGATGCCCAAATCAAGAATTTTCAAAGATCCTTGGAATTCCGTAAAACGTGGGACTTTTTTAAGAAAATAATAGGTCCTCAGAAGGCCTATTTAAGCAGATTTTTTAAGAATTTTAAAGGTTCCTTAGAAGAAGCAAAAATGTGTATTAAAGGATCCTTAGAAGGGACAGATTGTGCAGATTTTGGACTTAAATGATTTTTAAGAATCTTTTGAAGGTATATAAACTCGAATTTTTCTTCGTCAATTTAATGTCCCGGTAACACCCTCTCAGTCAACAATAAACCGAGTTGTTGTAAATTTTCGACAACAAGGAACAGTAAGGATGCTTCCTGGTTCCGGTAGACTGCGAACTGTCCACACGCTTGACAATATTTAAGTGGTACAGGAGAGTATTCGTGAGGATCCAGAAATATTAAGCAGGAGATGTCAGACACAAATTGGCCTTTCAAGAGAGATGCTGCGGTGAATTTTGCATACCGTAAGAATGTTTCCATACAAAATTCAAATCAGTTCAAGAATTGAAACCGACAGAGTACCAGGAACCACTTGACTATGCAATATATTTCCAGCAAAGAAAAATCCTAATTATAGTCATACCTTAGTTCTGAGTGACGAAACCCTTTTCCAATTAATTGGGTTCGTTAACTAGTAGGATATGGGCTACGAAAAGTCCGAGAGTATTTCATCAGCGACAATTGCACCCAGTTAAGTGTGCTGTTTGCTTCGGAGTTTCTTCAGAAAGGATAATTGACGAGGTGTCGCAATTTCCCCCAGCGGTGATCGATATCGGGCCATTATAGGAAAGTTTGTAAGGTCAGACCTGGAAAATCATCCGTAAATATGGTTCCAACAGGACGGAGCGCACAATGCGTGGGCCACAATGGCTATTTTACGCGTCATCTTTGGTTAAAGATTAACTAGCCTTTGCATTCTACGGATTTAAACGCTCCAGACTGTTCCTTTGGGGTTATTTATGTTAATAATGGGGGTAAATTTATGTTAATAAGCCTGAGACTATTGAGCAATTAATAACCAAATTTTCGTGACAAAATTAACAACATAGCACCGGAAGTTTTGTGAAAGCGTGGACCTAAATATTCAATGTTCCGCCACCGGAGCTAGAATCCATTGTGACCTACAAATCCCACTTTTTAGACAAATCCGTTGAAAAATGCGTCGAAAATCATCAAAATATCGAGTATGCTGATCATGAACGATCAAGTTTTTTTTTCTTAGCAACATTGCTCTCAGCCACTTACCTCATCTACTCCCAATGTATATACATCCGTTGTGCCACACTCGCTCTTTTCCATGGTAAGAATTATTTCGAAACTGTATGACCTCTCTTGGGCGCCAATGAATTTTAACATTGCATCATTGTATGAACTGAACAAAGTGGTGTTGGCGGCATTACAGAATTTTCCCATGGACGGCTGTTTCACCTCAACACTATCGAATACTTCGACAAAGTTACAGGCCGACGAATCATTCGTACATTGGCCATTCTCTGCAGATGAACAATTCGAGAGGCCATCATTGATATCCAATTTTTTAATATCCGTTCGTATGCGATATCCTTTGGGAGCGTTTATGCGATAGAGACACATATACTCTTTGCCATCCCTTGATGTGGCATAGTTACGGGCCAGACTGACGGGTGAGTTGCCATCGGTAAGCGAAATGCGTTCATTGCAATTCGGTATGAAGACAATTTGGCCCTCGAAGCCACTGGCCGCAATTACGGAATCAGAGATGGCATTGATAACGGCTTGGTTGTGATCGACAATGATGGTGGGCAATGTGTCCATTAGGTTGCCCGACAACTGGCTAACACGTTTCTCGCCCAATATAGCATGTCCCGAGTAAACGCTCAAATGATCACGGCGCTCTTCCATGTTGAAATATTTAAAACGCACCACAATGGAGTGATCGGCTGGAGCTGTTACATACCACACACAATTCATATTGTTGGCATATACGTCGAGGTGTTCATGTTTCTGAGGGCGTATGATTTGATGACTATTGGTCACGTTGCCACCACATGTATCGAAGCTGTATTCAAGGCTGTACTCCCCGTTTTCATTGGTCGTCAATCGCAAATAGTTGTAGGCCCTTTCTTCGAATTCTAATTCGCAATGTTTTGTTGCAGGCTGCGTATCACGTTTATACACCATAAAACAGACTCCCTGATTTGAGGACCTTCTATAGCTGAAGGTAGCCGCTGCAGATGTTGCCCTAACCTTGATCAATTTATCTTTTTCATTCGACTGAAAGATATATTCACACTGGGTTCTTAGATTGCGATATGGCAAATTTTGTGGCCGGTAAATAGTTTTCACCTCCGAACTGGTGACATTAACCACCAGCGAACAGTGGCTGCGAACAAAGAGGGAGAAACCATCCGCGGTTACGTTTTCATTTGTGCGGAATATTATTTGAATTTGATTGGTGCTGGAATTGTAAATCGGTGGCAGATCTCTGCCACAGTAGCGAACATCTGGTATCCAGAGGCCATCTTCTTTATGTTGTATTTCCACATAATCTCGGCTACAATTTTCCGAGTGCTCCACAAAGAAACGACCGTAGAAGGTCACCTGCAAATAGAAACCTCGTTGGGCCTTAAAGATCCAGAGGCATTCTTCATTATTGCGATAGGTTTGCCGATCCACCTCCACCCGGGTTGAGGCGAAAGTTACCATGGTCTTGGAACCACAGACAATGGTTTTCTTGGCCTCAAAATGGAATTGTGTTTTGGAGTATACATAACTTTCCGCCTGGTAAACCACAAATGAACGGCTATGCTTCAGATTGTAATCGAGTGAGGTGTCTTCACCTTCACCGCGGCAAAGCTTTTTCACGGCATCCGTTTGCCATCTTTGCTCCTTGATTAGGATAAATTCACGTTCACAAGAATCGCTGAATGTGAAATTGCCCACCAAGCGGAATGCAGCGTCTGTGCGTCCATAATAATACGGCCGATTTAGACTCCACACACACATTATAGCACCATAGCCGATATCGCGTATATCCGGCTGTTCAATGGTTAGGCCATCCCTTACCACATAGTTGCCACCGCAAGCATGACGCCGATACGACATGGATAGCTTGACAATTCGTTCGTAATCGGTTTGTATAATTTGCCAAAAACCCACCGGTTGCGATTGTGGATGCAAGACCTGTGTCAGATTTTCCCTATAGCTTGCTATCACCAAATTGTCACGAAAACTCAATGCATTGACCACACGCGGCATTCCGCCAAGTGTTTTCAGCTCAAAGCGGCTAATGTTGAACACCAATGTTTCCGAGGGATTCAAGTTAATTTTCGCTTTACAATAGTAGGGCTGCTGGAAGTTCGGTTGCCAATCGCCTATATCGATGCGGCCTTCGAGCTTGGTTTCATCAATATTTGGCGGACAAAATGACTCGCTGTCGGAGTAGTAGTGAGCCTTGAGGCTCCTATACGGCATCGTCATCGTGGGTATGTAGATACTGACTAGCATAGTATTATCGCTGGACTGAATTATGGTGTTTGGATCATAGCTGTTCATATCGAAGGTTAATATTTTCGATTGCATTTCATGGTCGTTGTAAATGGTAAAGCTAATGGATCTGAAAGAAAGCGGGGAAAGCAGAATGTGGAATAAAAATGGGTTATATTATTGAAGTATGCAATTAATTCAAGGTAACCTCATTTCAAAATATATCCATTGATCTTGGTTAAGTGAATACATAATAAAAGGGAATAGCGGGGCTTCCGACTGTAGATGAGAGAGATTTGTTAAACAAGGGCCTTTTTAATGCGGTCCACATTAAATAAGATAAGAAAATGTGATGAGCAGACCTTCGAGCCATTAGAAATAAATAATAAAGAATATTCAATTCTTGCATGCGGTATATTGAAGATCGAAAACGGGATGTAATCTTTACTCAGACGGATAAGCAAGTGCAGCATGTTTGATTGGCACATTTGAGAAAGCTACGCGTGTTTATGACCTCGCCCTAAGATTTATGGTGGAATGGTGCATAGACGTTGGTATCTCCCTCTTTTACACTTAATGCAAATTTAGGTTAAATTATATCATCATAAGTAGTTCTTTAGAAATAAATTTAATAAATCGGTGTCCTGCAACCACTCAATAAGGAAAGGCGTGCTGTCTTTTATGAAACTAAGGATCCCGATTTACATTGCTCATTAAAGCCGGACAATAGAGGATAGCGCGTCGTAGAGATAGTACGTCGAGGAAGTTCAGTCAGCTAGGAATTGTTCCCATACATAGGAAAACTTAGCAGCCTAATAAAAGGATACTGAGTCAGAAAGAGACTTCAGCACAGAAGACAAACTTACCGAAGGGGCTTCATATCTGAGATCTTCAGACAGAAGGGGTGAGGCTTCATGTCCGTATCCCCAGGAGAACGATTCGGTGAAATTGCCGCCAGTGATGAGTTGAAGAAAGGTTTTAACCACGAAGTTGGTCATAAGATGACGGAGTGTGGAAAATTATTTTATTTATGAAGGTTGCTGTAGATGCCAATGTTGGTATTAGAGAAAGGATGCAGTTATTGAACGTCGAGGCTTAAAATTGAAGGATGATATGAATGAGTATAAATGTCCTATCTTACAAGATAAACTTCAGAAACTCAAGTCCAAATTGGTGGCTTCTTAGGAAATAGCGCATACAGTAAGAGTTCAAACCAACCTCAACGTAATGTCTTTGGAGGAGGAAGTAAAATAACTTCTTCGGAAAAGGCCCGTAGAGCAGCTGAGAGCAAACATGATAAGTTTAACGTTAAGCTTGAATGTAGTCTGAAGGTGGCTGTAGATCCCAATGTTGGTCTTAGAGAAAGGATGCAGTTATTGAACGTCAAGGTTCAACGAGACTTAAAATTGAAGGATGATGTGAGTGAGTATATGCAGTAAGATTTCAAACAAATCTCAACGTAAAGTCTTTGTGGGAGGAAGTAAAACTGCTTTCGGAGAAGGCCCGTAGAGCAGCTGAGAGCAACAATGATAAGTTTAACATTAAGCTTGAATGTAGCCTGAAAGTTGCTGTAGATGCCAATGTTGATCTAAGAGAAAGGATGCAGTTATTGAAAGTCAAGGTTCAACGAGACTTAAAGTTGAAGGCTGACTTCTTCGCAGAAGGCCCGTAGAGCAGCTGAGAGCAAAAACGATAAATTAAACATTAAGCTTGAATGCAGCCTGAAGGTTGCTGTAGATGCCAATGTTGGTCTTAGAGAAAGGATGTAGTTATTGAACGTCAAGGTCAAATCGAAGGATGATGATAATGAATATAACTGCGGTGTCCTACAAGATCAAGTTCAGGAACTCATGTCCGGAAATAGACCATGCAATAAGATTTCAAACAAATCTCAGCGTAAAATCTTTGGAGGAGAAAGTAAAACGGGTTTCGGAAATGCTGATTTAACTTAAAATCGAAGGATGATGTGAATGAATATAAATGCCATGTCCTACAAGATCAAATTCAGAAACTCCGAATTGGTGTCTGCTGAGGAAATAGAGCATGCAGTAAGTGTTCCCACAAATCTCAACCTAAAGTCTTTGTAGGAGGAAGTAATATTGCTTTCGGAGATGCTGAATTCTTCAGAGAAGGCCAGTAGGGCAGCTGAGAGAAAATACGATAAGTTTAACATTAAACTTGAATATAGCCTGAAGGCTGCTGTGGATGTCAATGTTGGTCTTAGAGAAAGGATGCAGTTATTGAACGTGAAGGTTTAACGGGACTTAAAATTGTAGGATGATGTTCTACAAGATCAAGTTCAGCAAATCAATCCGATTTGGAGGCTTCTAAGGTAATATTGCATGCAGTAGGAGTTCAAGCAAATCTCAAGTAAAACTGCTTTCGGAAAGGATGACTTCTTCGCAAGGGCCCGTAGAGATACTCAAAGCAAACAGACTTGGAGTAGAGGAATCCATTACTGAAGTTGAAGTATTTGGGGAAGAAAAAGAATCAAATCCTAGAGACTTGAATGGACAAATATCAACCACTGAAGAATCCTAGTGCCAAAAGAAGCAAAATGTCATGTCGAAACAGAAAAGGACAGGAGTCAAGGATGAGTCGTATGTCAAAGAGATGAAGGCGAATAAAGATGGTCATCTACCAAACTGGAGTAATAATATGTTCAGGGAAGCACAAGTTATCACAAGAAAAAGAAAATGCCTAGTGGAAGTCATGTAGCTGGAAAAAAGGCAGGCTGGGGTGACAGGAAATTATGAGCGCTTGCAACGCTGGAAGAGCAAGCAGTCCAAGGGCTGTAAGATGGCACTGCCAGAGAAATATTACACCATTGGTTACAGGAAGAATACGACAGATATCGAGACTGTTCAGCTTGGAAATTGAAGACGTCAGACAAAGAGCCGTGGGATCTTCAAAAGAGACCGAATGAAAAGATGGAGGAGCTACCTGAGTGATATCACTTAGCAAATTTCTGTTATAATTTTTAATAACAATATTTTCCCATTCTTCATATTTCTAATTTTCCTTCCAGGAATGTTGACGGATACGAAAAAATGTTTTTTATAAAAAAAATAGCGGGGCCAGCTATTGCAGACATTTGCAAATGGAAGAAGGAAAAGACAAATAAAGCTTTCGAATTTCGATAAAATTTTGGAATTTTTTTCTATTACCGATTTTTTTCACTTTCGAAAAATATTGAGGTTTTTATGCATTTCAGAAGAAGTCGTATTTCTTCATAACATTTTACTCACCTGCTTTCATTTTGCACTTCAAAATCTCCCATATTTAGGAACTCCAAACGCACTCTCAAGCCCTTCGGTACGGTTATTTTCCAACGACAGTAACTGGAATAGAATGATCTCCGGGGGAAATTCAATGTTATTGGACCTGATACACCCTCCATTTCCTGATGACATTGGCCGCTAAAGCGATTATATTTTATTTGGAAACCATGATATAGAGTGGCTCTGGCAGATGTATGGAAACGGATGATGGCCCTGTTGACATTCAAATCGATTTGGGTTCCCCTTGTGGCATTGCCGAACACAAATACCGATGGTATAGTTTCATTGACCTCGGCTGGAATTATGGGTATAATCTCCAAATAATCTTTGCTTTTGGGAAAATTGTGATTAAACGGTAAATTTATGTTCAGTAGGATTAGACGTATTCTAGTGTCCGCTGGTTGACTGATGACGTAGTCGCATTCACTGTGTGCGGGATAGGCGCCGGGTTGGGGATAGCCGGGAGAGGTAATTATTTCACTCGAGGCTGTGAAGGTTCCACCACATTTGCCAATCGATAGCTGTACCTTGAAGCCGGCCCTGGGTTCACTGACATCGGTCAGATAGTGGATATATAATAGATTCTGTGTGGTTTTCATTGGAGGTGGGGTGCGGCAATATTTTCCCAAACTCTTGGCCAAGGCAGTGGCACCATCGAATAGCTCAACATACTCCAGGTCACAGTATTTGGTATTCATGTGGAAATCATTGGAGAACTTGATATCGATTAGTTCTCCACGCGGTGCCATTACTCTCCACTCACACTCCGTGCGGGGCGGTGGTACATTGGGATAATTCGGTGAGGTAATATTGATGATGTCCGCCTCAGGTATCAAGCGATATTCTTCATTGCATGTCGAGTATTCGCGATAGGTGAGATTCCAGCGCCTCGACATGATTGGTCTGGGCAGGGCTAACTTGTATTGGATGGCCAGATAATTGCTGCTGGAATTCATTTGGATTTGGCTAACATTTTGTGGGTTGCATAGTTTGCCGGGTGGCAAGAGTGGTGCATGCCTATCAATGCCATCATAAATCAAGACATAATCAAGACATTCTGGCGGATTTTTCACTATGGCTGGAGCAAAGTCAAACTGTAGGAGTACACGTTTTCCCGGTCGAACTCGAATGCGCCAATGGCAATCGGTTTCATAGAGAAGTTTCTCTCCCTCTATGAAACCCACCGATTGGGTTAAATTTGAACCACATTTTGTAATAATCCGAGCAGCGAATCCCTTACCCTTAATCGATACGTCTGTAACAAAATCCAATTTCAGATTAGGTGTACCATTATAGATGCGATACGGTGTATATGTCTTGTCGGGACTATCGCAAAGTTTGGCTTCTTCATGCCACTGCACCAGATCACTGGACGTAGATATTTTTAAGTAATCCGATGTACAGGCACTAACATTTTCCAACTTAACCTCATACACCTCACAGACCACATGCTGGGTACTCAGAAACGGCTTAAAAATCCAATCACAGGCCAGATTATTATCATATTTTGAAGGATAATTTGGTGAATAGATCATAACGCTGGCATGAGGTTTTATCAATCTATCCACGTGACACTTGGATGTGGTAACATTCGAGTCGACAACTGTCACATTTGTGGTGTTCCATGATATTTGAAAATAATTGGGGTTTTCAATGTCAGTTTCGAAGTACAGGACATTCGAGCTGGATACAAAACGCCAGGGGGCATCGGAAATTTCGATGGGCAGAGCTGTAGAGTCATAGCCATCGTAGAGCTGAAAGGTAAGGAGAGAAAGAGAATGAAAAAGTAAATTTCTTGCTTCTTTTGGAGGCGACCATTAAAAGGTCGTAACTAAGAATGAGACACGATTTTTGGTAAAAAATGACAAAAATATGCAGTCGTTGATTGTTTTGTGGATGAATGTAAATTTTGACGGAAAGCCAGCCATATGACTACAGAGGGTATATATCATTTGATAAGGCCAAAAGGTGCCTCATCGAAATAAGGGTTTTAGGACCAAATCCGTTACAGGACGTTTGGAGTCAATCTAGTTATGTCCGTCTGTCTGCCGTTCGGAGATAGGCAATATCTTTCCACTCCTTCTGGTACCTCCCCCAGAAAATGTAAACATTTCCAAAGAAAATAATTCACTGCACACAAAGAGAGAGGATAATCCGATTTTTCTCCAACTTTGCAAATCATAATATTTGTATCAGTGCTAGGTCAGATGCGAAAATGGGCAATATCGGTCCACTCTTTCTGGTACCTCCCCCACAAAGGGTCAATATTTTGAATATCCATGAAGCTCATAAAACAAGAAATGAACTCCCGATTCCATTCAGTCTTGGCAGGTACATATCAATATTTCCATCAACACAAGATCTGTTACAAAGATGGTAAATAACGGACCATTCCGTCTGGTACCTCCCCCACAAGGGGTCAAGATTTTGAATAACCAAAACGATCATAAAATCTGAAATCAGTATCCGGCTCTCTTCAAATTTTGTAAATCCCATTATGTAATTTATCGCTCCACTCCTTCTGGTACCTCCCCCGCAAAGGGAAAAATTTTGAATATTCATGAAGCTAATAAAACACGAAGTTAACATCCGATTCCATTCAGACTTGGTACACCTCAATATTTTCATCAACACAAGATCTGTTATAAATATGGTAGAGATTGGACTATTCCTTCTGGTACCTACCCCACAGAGAGTCAAAATTTTGAATAACCAAAACAATCATAAAATCTGAAATAATTATCCGGTTCTCTTCAAATTTTACACATCCAAACGTTTTTACTAACGCAAAATCTGTTGTGAACATCATAGATATCTGCCAAGCCCTGTTAGTTAAAACCGTTATTTCGCTGAGGCACGTTTTGCCGTATCTCTCTAGCCATATGGCTGAGGGTATAATAAAATATGTCGTAAATTAAAAGTCATAAGGAATTCACACAACTTCGATCCTCCTGGACCTCCCCAAACATAAAGCATCTGATTTTCACCGCCAGAACAGGGAGAAAACAACCCTTCTTATTTCATATGGAGACCCCGAGTTTACCTCAGCCGACCAGAAAACAACGTTACAGAGTTTAGTTCTCTTGCTCAACTCTCTTTTTCATCAGGCTGTAGTATCGATTCCGAACTTCAAATACGAAATCTTAAATAATTTCGGTGAATAATGTCACCTATATGACCAAAATAACGAATAAAGGGAGATACCGTTTTGTGGCGCCTATACGAAGACGTGGACATGCCTAAGTAATTTTCTGCCGTAGGCTGCAGTTTAGATTCCGAATTTCAAATTCGAGATTTGAAAAATTCCGGTCTGTAATGTCACTAAAATCATCAATATTATTAGGAGATACAGTATTGCCCCCATCATACTAAAACGTGGACCGACATGGCCCATTTTCGAACTTAACCTGCCTACTGGTAAGATACACATGTGTGCAGAATTTTTGCCTTATAAAAATTACTTATCCACGGCCATATAACGGTTTTCATTTGCGTCTTATTTTTCGGCCGCATTTTTTTAATCTTTCAAATTCCTTCCAAATGCTGGAGGTTTCGGTCCGGAAATTCTCTGTTTTTTACCTAGGTTTGCCTTACCTTCAAGCCATCGAGATAGGTTTTAAAATACAATGCCACAAACTGCTGCCTTGGAACCAAGATGCGCCATGCAAAAGTCTCATCCTCATTACGCAGCAATGATGTGGGAGGTGATTCTATGAGACCCCTTGTTTCATTCACATATTCGGTAAGATGAGCTGAAACAAAGAGAGAGAGAGAGAGAGAGAGAGAGAAATAGTATTTCCCAAAAAATGCGATTCCCTCCCCCCCCCCCCCCCCCCCCCCTTTTACCCTTACCATAACTCCATTTCAATTTAAAACCTTTGCCACTGCTTCCCTCGGAGCTACGAAATTTGAGCCACATGGAATCTTTTGATTTTAGAATTTCTTCCGGCACAGCGTTACCACAATATATGGCCAAGGCCTTTGAGCCCAACCATGAACGTATCTCCAAAAAGTCCTCATTGCAATGTTCACTCGCGGCCATATCTAAATCATCGAATTCGATTTGTATAGTATTGCCCAATTTGGCTGTTATCGTCCAAATACATTCAATATTTCCCGCATAGGGCAAGGGATAGTTGGGCGATGTCAGGATACCACGTGCCCCTGTTATTGTGCCGCCGCATGAATGTTGTGTTGTCGAATAGGTTGCACGAAAATTTATACCATTCGTGTAGATATACAGTTGGGTGCTTTCGAAAATCATATGTGATTGAAATTTTTCACATGTTAGATCCGTATAAGTTTGCGGATTCTCATTGTTTGTGCTGAGCTAAAAGAAAAAAATTGGGAAAAATGTATTTTAATTGCATATATTAGGTGTGTGTATACCGGTGTCTGAATGGAGGGGGAAATATCGATATTTGGAATTTTTTTTTCTCACCATGACATCCGTTTACCAGCCGATGTCACCGATTTGAACCTTTACTTACCTCACCTATACCAACTTACTAAATTATCTCAAGTCCTCATTTTTTCTCTCGGTTTTGCCTTCAGATGTAAACGGTGAGATGAAAAAACAGCAAAAAACATCAGACTGCTGTCATTTCTAAGCCACTATTCCGACAGCAGTGACAGCTCATTATATTGTTTACAAGAGTACAAAAGCATTTTGGTGAGAATTTTCCAGAAGAAAAGTTATTCGTGATGGAATTCAAGCGATTTCTTTATATTTGGCTGGAAAACCACAAGTGGCTATCGTGAGGGCACTCCAGCATTTAAATGTGAATAAATCTTTTGTGTCTCGTACCACACTCGTTACCGTGATACTGGTAGCGTAGTCCGACGTCAAGGAAGTGGACGGAAGAAAACAGCAACATCAGCAGAAATGGTTAGAAAATTAAAGAAGCGACTTGATCGAAACCCGCGTCGCAGTGGCCGAAAAATGGCTCGTGAGCTAAACATATCGCAATATTCCATTCGGCAAATATTGAAAACTGAGCTCTCGGGGTAAAGCCATTGAAATTCCAAAAAGTGCAAGAACTTACACCGCAACTGAAAGAAAATAGACTCAAAAGAGCTAAAGAATTGCTTCGCTTGGCCGAAAGTGGTGAACTGCCGAATTTGATTTTCTCCGTATCCGATGAGAAAACATTCGTTGTCCAGCAGTTTGTAAACAAACAAAATGATAGTGCTTACTTGCCAATGAGGTCAGCTGAAAATGTGCACCTTCGGTTGGCCACCAAAACTCAAGCGCGAACCATGGTAATGGTGTGGGCCGCCATAACAGCCGATGGTCGCTCTTCGCTTGTATTAATCGTCCGTGGCATCAGAATAAATGCCGAATATTATCGCGAAAATATTCTGGAGGGTGTATTAAAGCCTTGAGCATGCAAACATTTTGGGCGCAGATCTTGGACATTCCAACCGGACTCAGCACCATCGCACTCATACGCGCCACTCAAGAATGTTTGCAAAATGAGGTTCCTCGTTTTATTTCCAACGCACAATGGCCACCAAAATCTTCGGATACCTATCCGTTGGACTATTGTGTCTGGAGTATTTTGGAAAGCAAGATTGGCACTAAAAAATAGTGTCGATCACCTCAAGCAAGCTCTTCACCGGGAATGGGCCAAAATATCGCAGAACAACATTCGTTGGCCATTTGAAGGCCATAATTCATGACAAAGGTGACCAATTCAAACAAATCTAAACTTATTCTAAAATTTGATGCTATTTCCGACATTTAAAAAAATGTAAAAATGATGGCGTTTGACTGTGTTGCAGTTTTTTTTGTTTCACCCTGTACATCTGTCGGTAAAACCGACTGATACTTTTTAACTTGTTTCAATCAATACCGAGAGGAAAATATTTCTAATTCCGAGAAATATTTTTCTGTCCACGAACAGCAGCATAGGTTAGGTTAGGTTGAAAAAAGGGCCGAAGCAAGCCAGTATGGGCCTGTTGTGTGCTCTAGACTAAGGGTTTTTGAAGAAGGCGGGCAGTTTACAGTCTATTATGTTTGAAATTCAGTCACCTTTATGAAGCTTCTTAACTGTCTTATTTCATTTACCATGGTCTGATTAAGGTCTGGTATGGGGTCGTTCCTTAAGAATTGGGATCTGATATTTGCAAACGCTGGGCATTGGCAGAGAAAATGTTCCAATGTTTCGTCATCTTCCCCATATGCCCTGCATATGCTGTTTTCTGCACATCCTATCGTGTACATATGAGCTTGTAGGTCCAGGTGCCCCGTAAGGATGCCTATTACCTCACTGATCTCTTTTTACCTAGTAATAAAAGGTTCTTCGTTTTTATCTCATCGGGATCGCCCCATAAGATTTTCGTGGTTTTCCCTCCACCCTACACCAGCATAACAATCCAGCTGTTTCCAGTAAACACCCACATTTGACATTTTCATATCGATTTCTCAAAAGCTTTCCAGGATTTTGTAAAACATCAAAAAACTTAATTAGCTACTTACCCCCAGACCGCGGGTTCCACAACTTTTTGTTCCATTCTCGGTTTTCGAACAAAAACAATCCAACTCCAAAATGTTTAAGGAAATTGAATTTCCTGAAAAAAATATAAAACTAAAACCAATGATAATACTCGCCAAAGCAATATTCGTGCTATAATAAAGAAGGTATCCTCTTTCCTCATATCCTCTTGCAAAACAGATTCCCATCTCTGGTTTGGTGTATATAATGAAGATTTATGAATATACTTTTTTTTACAGTGAGATGATTACACAAGGTTACCTTCTTAATTCTAGCACGGCAATAACCTACCCTTCGCCACAGACAGAGTCCAAAAACAATCTTCATTCGATGCGGCCACAATTAAACCAGAATCCATTTCTAACTTCCCACCGCACATGCTTCGGTAGAGTAACATAAATCGGCTTCCATATAGAGATTTTTGATTCTTGTACTCGATAGTTACCCGACTGCTATTTAACATAAAAAGTCCTCTGTCCAGAGAACATATTTTGCTAGCATTGTTCGCAGTACGTTCGGAGGATATCTCTGTGATTTTCAAATAATTCTCTTCACAATTTTCCGACTGATTAAATTCCAATTCTTTTATCGTCAGATAAATGACATTCGCATCGGCTACACTGATGTCCCATTTGCAGCTGAGCTCCTCGGTTGTGTTACGCGGGTAGCTGGGCGAATATAACCAGCCAGAGGTAACTCTGAGCACTCCACCACAGGTTGCATCTCGTGTGTGATACATGGCTTTGAAGAATTTACGACCTCTGGAAGGACCCGATTGAAATTGGACATACAGACGATTCATTGGCGAGTAGATATTTGTTATGGGTTGTTGGCTGATGCAGTAATGCATAAGGGTGTATGGCGAGGTCTTGGATTCTTTTACAGTTATACTGTCCAATGAGCAGTTGACGTGCTCATAATCCCCCTGGCATTCAGTGACAGTGAAAACTATCTGCTTGCCAGCCGGTACCTCTATATACCACTCACATTCCAGGCCACCACTGAAGGGATAATTTGGTGATGCAATTGTTCCAAATTCGTTGGTCAAGACTTCACCACAGCCAACTCGTGTGTACTCGGCCCGAAATCCATTTTTATTGTTCGAATAGTCCGTGACGAGTCGCACTCTCAATTGATTTCCTTCCGAGGTGATTACATCATTCGGCCTACTACAGAGATGGTATTTTTTCAAGATGTCCTCATCCTTCATATCCCACACTTCGACATAGTCATTTTCACATTCCATGTCGGAGGTTTCCAAACTGAAGTGAGAAAATGCCAATTTGATGTGATTATTCATGCCGGCCATAATGTCCCAACGGCAATCCAATAGCTCTGGATAAGGTTCCGGAAAGTTGGGCGATTCAATGATACCCTGTACATGATCCAGAACCGTTTTACAATATGTTTGATAATCGATAACGAAGTCCGTGTAATCTTCTCCGACATTGAAGGGTGTATAAACGACAAGCATTTGATTATCGCTTGAAAGGAACCAGTCTTCATTCTTCTCCATGGGCTTTAAACAGGGCTGATTATTAAAGGGTTTTGAAGTTGTTGACCCCTGATAAATATGTAAATTATTACGACGGCAAAAATCCGCCGGATTTGTCAAGTATGTTAGTTTGAGCTGAATCCAAGAACCCTCCGCCACATGAATCATCCAATCACATTTTACACCGATTTCCTCAAATGTTGCAACCATTGGGGAGTGTATGGAACCCTTATGGGATGTCAGCTTACCGCCACAACCCGTCTCCATTTGTTCCCATATTATGTGGAATCCCGGAGCCTCTACCGTACTGTCTGTGGTGAAGCGTAAATACAAGCTATTACCAAATGAGGGTATTCTAGAGGGAATTTCTTGACCGCAATAACGGCCGATTAGAGGTGAGTCGGGAAATTTGCCATTCCTGTAGAGAAAAATTAAAATGTACGATTTTAGAGGAAGGCAGCAAAACATATGAGGGTGAGCAAATGCGAGAGTTTTTATTTGCGTGTTTACCTAATCTCCAGTATGTCTCCTGTACATTCCGGTTCCAGCGTAAAGTTTTGCACCCGCAACTCAATTTTATAGCCCATTGGTGCCGAAATAGTCCAAACACAATCCAATTTGGCCGAATACAAACGTGGCCAGTTGGGAGATTTAATGACGCCATATAAGGCCACATAGTTACCGCCGCATGCTATAATTAATGGGAAAAAAGAAAAGATATTGAGAACCAAGGTAGGATAATGAGAAGAAAGGTAGGACGAGAAGACTACTTTTGATTGATGAGCTCCATGCACACTCAAAAATTTTACCCCTTGTGGGGGAGGTACTAGAAGGAGTGAACAAATGTATCGCATCTTCACACCACACCTTGATTTAATAAAAATATTGTGATGTGTGTAATTTGAAGAGAACCGGATGCTTATTTTGGATTTTATAGACGTTTTGATTATTCAAGACCTTGACCCTTTATGGGGGAGGTATCAGTAGGAATGGCCCGATCTCTACCAACTCTATAAAAAAATTTGTTTTGATGAAAATATAGAGATGTGCCAAGTCTGAGTGGAATCGGATGTTAATTTCACTTTTTATGAGCTTCATGAATATTAAACATTTTTACCCCTAGTGGGGAAGGTACCACAAGGAGTAATCGGGCCACTCTTCAGACTAGACCTTGCGTTAAAAACATATTGTGCTGTGTGTAATTTGATGGCAATCGGACTCTTATATCACATTTTATAAGAGTTATAATTATTCAAAATTTTGACCATTTATGGGGGAGGTACTAGAAGGAGTGGACCGTTTTGTCCCATATTCAGACCACACCTTGGGTTATTAAAAATATTGAGATGTGCGAAATTTGAAGACATCAGATTTTATAAGAGTTATTATTAATCAAAATGTTGACCCTTCATGGGGGAGGTACTTGATGGGGTGGACCGATATTGTCCATTTTCGCACCTGACCTGGCACTGATGCAAATATTAGGGTATGCAATGTTCGAGCAAAATCCGATTATCTCTCCTCTTTCTGTGCAGAAAATTATTTTCTTTGAAAATATTGACATTTTGTGGGGGAGGTACCAGAAGGAGGGGACTGATAGGTTTGGACTAAATCTGATACTACCTTAAAGAGTTATCGTGGACACCAGCCAGACAGACAGACGGACGGACATCGCTAAATCAACTCCAAATGACCTGAAACAGATTTGGTCAAAAGAGACCTAGGGTCTAAACCCATTATTTCGATGAGTCATATGACGGAGGGTATAAAAAACAAGAAAAAAAGTTTTAAGTTTGGCCGGCCGAACTTTGAATACCCTTCATCATTTGAAAAAAATTAGGAATTTTCAAAAAAAAATCCCTTAAAATTCTGTTAAAATCTTAAAAATACCGAATGTAGCCGCCTTATTAGGGTCTATAAAAATCGGTGAATGATGTAACTAAAATCATCAAAATACCGAATATAGGATGGTACCATTACCTGGGGGGCTATATGAAGAAGTGGACCTGCACAGACAATTTTCTGTCATAGGCTGTAGAATCCATTTCGAACTTCAAACACTAAATTTGAAACATTTCCGGTTAATAATGTCGCTTAAATCACCAAAATACCGAAAATCGGGAGGTACTGTTATATGGGGGCTATACGAAGACGTGAACCTGCACACACAATTTTCTGTCTTAGGCTGAAGTATCCTTTACAAACTTCAAATACCAAATTTGAAAAAATTCCGGTGAATAATGTCGCTTAAACCACCAAATACCGAAAATAGGGAGGTCCCGATGTATGGGCGCTATTAACTTTGTGGGGTCTAAAAAGTATATTTCGAGGTGTTACAAACGGAATGACAATATATATATATATATATATATATATATATATATATATATATATATATATATATATATATATATTGCAGAAGAAACCTGCGGAGGCTCTCAAGAGTATAAGGCTTATTCTCTCTCCTCTCCCTATCAAGAATTCTCACATTATCGATGTCTATATAACGCAGCCGTGGTCACTATATATATTAGTAGTGGTAATAGACTATCTCTCTATAAAGAATACCTCCAAGAGATTCCCATACATAGATGTCAACTCGTCGCCACTTACTTACCCTCCGTGTTGTTGACAAATTCGTAAGTGCCACCGAACAAAAAAACTGAAAGGTCCGGTATAACTGTAATCACATTGAAATGGAATGTCTCATTGACAGATTGGTTTGACGAGGAAATGCTAAAAATGGAATTAAATCAAAATCATTTCTAGTTTCGAGTTTCGTCCATCGCGATACGTACTTTTTCAGCAGGACATTCTTTTCACCTGGCATCCGACCATATATTTCTGTTGAAAGTTTTGTGTCCATCAGGGTATAGTGTGTGAAGGACAAGTGAATATGTTTGTCTTCGCTAGCCTCGAAAATATATTTACAAATGCCATCGTGAAGTCCCTTCATAAAGATTCCACTTGGTTCCGTATAGACTCCGCCACACTCCGTTTCCTCAAAGGAATATTCAATGCGAAGACCTCGAGCCCTGGCCGCATTGCTGGTCGCATGGAATACAATGGTCATTTTGTTCAGCTCCGAGTATAACTCCATGGGAGAGGCAGCTTTATAGAAACATTGCCGATTTGTGTCCGAAAGATGGACCTAGGGAATTCAAAAAAAATGAGAGTGAGTATTATTTTACCATAACATTCAAATGTCAAACCTCAAAATATGTAAGAGTATCATTTTGCATAGCAACAGCATCATTTGCAGCATTATCAAGTCCTCCGGTCGGAGGCAAAGAAATATCTGTGAAATTTGCCAAAACCATTGTTTCAGCTGGTCCATATATGTGATAAGTACAGGTAATGTGTTCGGTAAATGGATTTGGATAATTTGGTGTGGTGATAATACCACTATCAGGTCCGAAATATCTGAATTCACAATCTTAAAAAAGAAGAGAAAAGCAAACAATGTTATGAAGACTCCTCCTCCTCACAGGTCTCCAAATACTACCTTGTGTGTATTTTATTTTAAAAGGACTTTCGAGTCCTTTGGTTGGAAATTTATTCATATATCTTATTAGAACGGAATTTCCTGAACTCACAACTGAAGGAGGGAGTACACTGCCACCGCATGCGATTAGAAGACGGGAATCTTCATCCGTTTTGCCATCGAAAATCTGTTACCAAAAATTATATCAATAAAGTATTCAAGTTGAGAAGATCTTACTTACCTCAATACTATGCAGATTACAATTTTCCTCATCGCTTAGATTTAATTCCGCAAATGTTATTTTTACCTGCATATTCAATGGTTGCTTGATAGAATATAAACATATAGATGGTTCCGATGGACCCAAAATTATGCCCGATGCTGCTGTAAACACCCCACCGCAATGTGGTATTGATGATTCAACTTCAAAGTGTAGCTGAAACGAAGTATCCGAACCATAGCCGTCCGTATGAAGTTTCAATTTAAGTTCATTCGATGATGTTCTTAAAGTCTGAGGCGTTGTGATCTGACAATATTCCTTGGATATCAAATCGGCATCATAGATCTGGAAAATGTGAAAAAAAATCGGAAAATTAGTATCTAAATTAGTTTAAAACAAGTAAAAAAGCTGTAAGTTCGGCCGGGCCAACTTTGGTAATTCTCAAAAACAATAAAATCCGTTAAAAATTCTGTTAAAATCTTAGAAATACTCAATGTAGCTGTTGTATTAGGGTCTTTAGATTACTTTGGTCATAAGCCGTTAAAATATTCAAATGGGAAACTTAGAAAAAAAGGTGAACAATGTAGCTAAAGTCATCAAAATACCTCCTTATTTGGGGCCTATACCAAAACATGGACCTGAACCGACAATATTCTGTCCTAGGTTAAAGTATCCATGAATAATGTCACTAAAATCATCAAAATACCGAATATCAGAAGGTACCGTTATACGGTACGAAGACGTGGACCTGCATAGACAATTTTCTGTATTAGGCTGTAGATTCCATTACGAACTTCAAATACCAAATTTGAAACCATTCCGGTGAATAATGTCACTGAAATCATCAAAATACCGAATATCGGGAGGTACCGTTATATGGGGGCTATACGAGGACGTGGACCTGCACAGACAATTTTCTGTTTTAAGCTGAAGTATCCATTACGAATTTGAAATACCAAATTCGAAACAATTCCGGTGAATAATGTCGCTAAAATCATCAAAATACCGAATATCGGGAGGTACCGTTATATGGAGGCTATACGAAGACGTGGACCTGCACAGGCAATTTTCTGTCTTAGGCTGTAGTATTCATTGCGAACTTCAAATACCAAAATTGAAAGAATTCCGGTAAATAATGTCGCTAATATCATCAAAAGACCGAATATCGGGAGGTACCCTTATATGGGGGCTATACGAGGACGTGGACCTGCACAGACAATTGTCTGCTTTAAGCTGAAGTATCCATTACGAATTTCAAATACCAAATTCGAAACAATTCCGGTGAATAATGTCGCTAATATCATCAAAATACCGAATATGTCATAAGCCGTTAAAATATTCAAATGGGAAACTTAGAAAAAAAGGTGAACAATGTAGCTAAAGTCATCAAAATACCTCCTTATTTGGGGCCTATACCAAAACATGGACCTGAACCGACAATATTCTGTCCTAGGTTAAAGTATCCATGAATAATGTCACTAAAATCATCAAAATACCGAATATCAGAAGGTACCGTTATACGGTACGAAGACGTGGACCTGCATAGACAATTTTCTGTATTAGGCTGTAGATTCCATTACGAACTTCAAATACCAAATTTGAAACCATTCCGGTGAATAATGTCACTGAAATCATCAAAATACCGAATATCGGGAGGTACCGTTATATGGGGGCTATACGAGGACGTGGACCTGCACAGACAATTTTCTGTTTTAAGCTGAAGTATCCATTACGAATTTGAAATACCAAATTCGAAACAATTCCGGTGAATAATGTCGCTAAAATCATCAAAATACCGAATATCGGGAGGTACCGTTATATGGAGGCTATACGAAGACGTGGACCTGCACAGGCAATTTTCTGTCTTAGGCTGTAGTATTCATTGCGAACTTCAAATACCAAAATTGAAAGAATTCCGGTAAATAATGTCGCTAATATCATCAAAAGACCGAATATCGGGAGGTACCCTTATATGGGGGCTATACGAGGACGTGGACCTGCACAGACAATTGTCTGCTTTAAGCTGAAGTATCCATTACGAATTTCAAATACCAAATTCGAAACAATTCCGGTGAATAATGTCGCTAATATCATCAAAATACCGAATATGAGAAGGTACCCTTATATGGGGGCTATACGAGGACGTGGACCTGCACAGACAATTTTCTGTTTAGGCTGAAGTATCCATTACGAATTTCAAATACCAAATTTGAAACAATTCCGGTGAATAATGTCACTGAAAGCATCAAAATACCGAATATCGGGAGGTACCGTTATATGGGGGCTATACGAAGGCGTGGACCTACATGACCCATTTTAAATACCAAAAGTCCTGCAGACATAATATACAATTTTATCAATCTACTTCAATTCGTTCGGAAGTCAAAGTGATTTCCACTGACGGATAGACGGACGGACATCGCTAAATCGAGGGTGGTGGTGGAGGGTACAATAAGTTAGAAAATATCAGTCGGTTTTACCAACAGATGTATATCCTAGCCCTTGTTCGATTATTTATATAAATTGGGACTTCTGTTATGATTATTCAAACTGATGACCCTCTATGGAGTAGGTTCCGAAGGAATGGAGCTTCATGGATATTCAAAATGTTGACCCTTTGTGCGGAAGGTGCCAGAAGGAGTATACCGATATATTCCATATTCACAGCCGATCTTTAGTAAGTAAAAATATTGCGATGTGAAATATTAAGAGAACTGGATGCTCATTACGGATCTAATAATCGTTTTGGTACTTCGAAACAGTGAACCTTTTGCGGGGAGGTACCAGAATGAATGGTCCGATCCCTACCACCTTTATAACAGATCTTGAGCTGAAATATTGAGATGTGCAAAATCTGAATGGAGTCAGAAGTTATTTTCGCGCCTTATGAGCTTCATAGATATTCAAAATTTTGACCCTTTGTGGGGATGGTACCAGAAGGAGTGGATCGATATATCCCAACTTCACAGCAGATCTTGTGTTAGTAGAAATTATGGAATGTGCAAGATACGAAAATAACCAAATGCTCATTTAGGATTTAATAATCGTTTTGGTTATTCGAAACTTTGAACCTTTGTGGGGGAGGCATCAGAAGCATTGGTCGGATTTCTACCATCTTTACGACAAATCCTATGTTGATGGAAATATTCAGATGTGTCAAGTCAGAATGAAATAGTTTGTTAATTTTAGAAATTATAGGATAGGATGTGTATAATATAAAAATAATCGGATGCTTATTTCGGATTTTATGACTTTTGGTTTTTCAAAATGTTGATCCTTTGTGGGAGAGGTACCAGAAGGAGTGGACCGATAAATTCTATCTTCACAGCAGAACTTTAGTTAGTAGACATAATGGGATGTGTGAAATAGTAAGGAAGCGGATGCATATTTCGGATTTAATAATCGTTTCGGTTATCAAAACTTTGACCCTTTGTGCGGGAGGTACCAGAAGGTGTGCACCGATATATTTCACCTTAACACCAGACCTTTGGTTAAAAAAATATTGTGATGTGTGAAATTTGAAAACAATCGGTCTCTTACATTAGTACTTGACAGAGTAGACCGATATTGTCTATTTTCGCACGTGACCTAACACTGATGCAAATATTAGAATTTGCACAGTTGGACCACATATATTTTTTTTTTTTGAAAATTTTGACCTTTTGTGGGGGATGTAGCAGAAGGAGTGGACCGATACTGTCCATCTCCGAATTCGATCTAAGTTTGATAATAATATTACGATGTACCAAGTCTGGACTAAATCGGATATTCCCTTAGAGAGTTATCGTGCGCACCAGCCAGACAGACGGACGGACATCGTTAGATTGACTCCCAATGTCCTGAAACGGATTTGGTCCAAAGAGACCTAGGGTCTAAAATCGTTATTTCCATTAGGCACGTCTTGGCGTTTCAAATGATATTTACCCTCTCTAGCCATATGGCTGAGGCTATAAAAATGTGGAGAACACATAGTTGCCACCTTCTGCCCGGCCCTGTTCCAGAAAAAAAAAATAGGAAAAGTAAATTTTGTTTTCGCCATTCTGAGCACCCAATTTTATCAAGGATCAACACAATAACGATAACCTCAGTCTGGACCTCCTTAGGCTTGTCAATAGAGATCTGTTTATAATTCCAATTCATACATACCTTCAAAGAGTCACCCGTGCAATTTGGCGAATTTCCCATTTCAATGTCATAGATTCGGAGGTGAAAACGATAACCCATCGGTGCTGTAAATTTCCATTGGCAATCTCGGTGGGCGGCTACTTTACCAGGGTAACCGGGTGAACGTATGACACCTGTCTCTCCAATGGCAACTTCTAAAGTTACACCACACACATACACCTGTGATGTCCAGTTCATGTGAAATCCCGATCTCTGAGTGGCATTATCCGATCGGAACCAAAAGAATAGGACATTGTGCGATGATAAAATCGTCCCGTTCAAGGGTAGCTCATTTCCGCAAAATCTTCCAATTAGTTGAGCGGCCAATGAATTGCCGTCGTGGATTTGTAGCCAATCACGGCTGCACTCAGGATCAGGTTCCACATCGAAAGTGAGGAAATTAAGGCGTAATATTCGATTCGGCAGGGTGCGTATTATCCAGGCACATCTTTCCAGCGGCGCATATTCAGTTGCGCCATCAGCGGGATAGCTTAGCTCTCCACTTGGTTTACGTTGTATCGAAGAACAAACACTGCGCAACACCTCACAACGTTTGCCGGTAGTGCCGCGGGGGCAAGAGCATTTATATGATTCATCACCCAATGCTTTACAGGTTCCCTCATTTTCACAGGGATTTGGGTGGCAGGCGTCTTTTGTTTCACACAAGGCTCCCGAGTATCCCAATGGGCACATGCATCTCGTACTGCGACCCATGGCATGTACCATTATTCTGCATAAGGAAATGTTATGGGAGAGCCATTACAAACTACTTCATTTGCATACCTGGCAAATGTGATTCTCACACGAATCGGTCATGGGATTGGTGTGGCATCCTTCGGGGCCAAAACCATGGCCAAACATGCCGTGTGCACACGTACAGGTGGCAATATTGGAAATATATTCACACTTTGCCTGGGGATGACAAATCTTTTCGGCATCACAAGAATTGCTGGGTGCCAAGTCACAGGTATGACCATCACCAATCCAGCCGGGAGGGCACTTACCACAAACATAGGAACCCTAATACACAAGAGTGGGTTAAAAAGCCCAAAGCCCTTTTTTTCCAAAAATCCTCAAAACATACCTCAGTGTTAATACAACGCACAAGCGGCGAAGAACTGCAACCGCCGTTATTGCTGTCACATTCATCGATATCATAACAATTCATACCATCACCTGTATAACCAGCTGGACATGGTCCACACTTAAAGCTTCCTGGTAAGTTTATACATCCATTGTGACAGGGATTTTTGGTCTCTTCACATTCATCGATGTCGACATCACAGACCAAAGAGGCAGTGGAATTTGTTGCCAGGGTTGTATTTGTACTCCATCCCTGATCGCATAGACACGTGTAGCCATGTTGATTATTGGCGGGAATACACGTGCCATGGCCACACAATTCGGCGGATTGAAACAGTTGACATTGTGTGTTACTAAGACGGCAATGGGTGCCAGAGAAGCCTTTGGCACAGGTGCATCTGCAATTAAATATATATTTTTTTTGATAAGGAAATAGTAGCTGCAGTCTGAGAGGTTTTCATACAACTTTTAATGCTCTTCAACATTTGGATCGTAACGCTTTTAAAAGTATGCCGATTTATGTTAAAAAACGGTAAAAAAAGGTCAATGTCGGGTTGGTCCGACTTTATGATACCCTACACCACTTTGCATATATTGTGGAGCTACAGATAACAAATAAATGATTTTATGGAGAATTTATGAAAATAAACCGGGTGAAGATATATATGGAAGCTATATCAAAATCTGATCCAATATCTACAAAATTTAGCAGAGGTATTTCTATGCTGTTTCTGATAGTTGGCACCAAATATCGTTGAGTTGAGTGAGGGAGTTAGACACCAAAATCTGGGAAACATATATATAGCTATATTTTTTCACCAAATTTGAAATACAGCTGAAAATGTGCACCTTCAGTTGGCCATCAGAACTCAAGCGCCGGCCATGGTGATGGTGTGAGCCGCCATAACAGCCGACGGTCGCTCTCCGCTCGTATTAATCGACCGTGGCATCAGAATAAATGCCGAATATTATCGCGAAAATATTCTAGAGGGTGTATTAAAGCCTTGGACATTCCAATAGGACTCAGCACCATCGAACTCAGCACGCGCCACCTAAGAATGGTTACAAAATGGGGTTCCTCGCTTCATTTCCAGCGCACAATGGCCACCAAAATCTCCGGATATCGATCCGTTGGACTATTGTGTCTGGTATATTTTGGAAAGCAAGGTTGGCACTTAAAAATACCAAAATGTCGATCACCTCAAGCAAGCACTTCGCCGGGAATGGGCCAAAATACCGCAGAGCAACATTCGGGCAGCATGTGACGGTTTTATTGGTCATTTGAAGGCCATAATTAGTTCCAAAGTTGACCAATGCAAACAAATCTAAACTTATTCTAAAATTTGATGCTATTTCCGACATATTTTGCTTTCACTTAATAAAATTAAAAAAAAATGTAAAAATTATCGCATTTGACTTTGTTGCAGTTTTTGCAAAATTTTAAATGATCGGCCAATCAATGCGACCTGAATTTGGTTTATAAAAATACATGGACAGACGGACGGACGGACGACTCAGAATGTGATTCTATGCGGATCATCAAAAGGACTTGTGGGCCTGACTCTCTTCTCCTATGTTACAAACAAATGCACAAAGACATAATACCCTGACCAGTGGGTGAAGGATATCAAAATTACAAAAAGGGATCCGTATAGAACTGCGAATGTTATAAATGTATAACAGAACAGTAAGTGCCAGCTACTTCCTCAGCGAAAAGTCCACCTTAACATTTTAGATTCTTGCCAACATATTTTATTCATTATACCCTCAGCCATATGGATAGGGTGGGTGGGTGTTTGGCCAAAATGTTCTTCATTGAAAGAACGGTTTTAGACCCTAGGTCTCAGGACATTTGGAGTCGATCTAGCGATGTCCGTCCGTCTGTGTGGCTAGTGCGCACTATAACTCGAGAAAGGGAGTATCCGATTTGATCCAAACTTAGTACATCGTAATATTATTGTCAAACTTAGATCGAGTTCGGAGATGGGCAACATCGGTCCATTCCATCTGGTACCTCCTGTAATAGCGGAGAATGAGCAGAAAGAGTGGACCGATTTTGCCTATCTCCGAACTCGACCTAAGTTTGGCAAATATATTACGATGTACCAAATTTGGACCAAATCGAATACTCCCTTCAAGAGTTATCGTGCGCACCAGCCAGCCAGACAAACAGACAGACGGACGGACGTACATCGCTAGATCGACTCCAAATGCTCTGAAACTGATTTGGTCTAAAGAGACCATGTGGCTGAGGGTATAAAAAAACTGCATTGGTTATCATTGCATTTGTACAGAACATCGCCCATGAGCCACCGTCGTCGAACTCAGCGAAAGTACTTTCAACGAGGGAGGAAGAAAAAAACAAAGTAAGTCATTGAACTGTTTGTAATTGCAAATCACATGTTTGAATGAGAATTAACAAAAGGGTGACCAGATCGAACTTTTTATGTTTTCGGGAAAATTATTAAAATTTTGAATGTATGAAATATAATTTATATATATTTATATATAAATATAATTTGGTTGGAAACTATTTTCATATTATTTAGATTAATTTAATATGACAACATGGTCACCCCTTTGATTTTGGTTCTTTGGTTTCATGTTATGCTAAATCGTTTTGTTATCCAACAAAGGCAAACAAAGAGAGAGCGAGAGAGAGAGTTCGTTTAATTTTTATAAACATTTAATATTTATACCAGATGCTCATATTAAGAGATATATTTGTTAAACGTTCTGTGATATTCGATTATTCTCTTTTTATACCCTCCACCATAGTATGGAGGGTATATTAAGTTTGTCATTCCGTTTGTAACACCTCGGCATATACATTTTAGACCCCACAAAGTATATATATTCTTGATCGGCATAAAATTCTATGTCGATTTAGCAATGTCCGTCTATCTGTCTGTGGAAATCACTCTAGCTTCCGAACGAAATGAAGTAGGTTGATAAAATTTTACATAAATGTGTATTATGCCTGCAGGACTTTTGGTATTGAAAATGGGCCATGTAGGTCCACGTCTTCGTATAGTCACCATATAACGGTACATCCCGATATTCTGTATTTTGATGATTTTAGCGACATTATTTACCGGAAATTTGGTATTTGAAGGTCGTATTGGATACTACGGCTTAAGACAGGAAATGGGCCATCTAGGTCCACATCTTCGTATAGCCCCCATATAACGGACCTCCCGAGATTCTGTATTTTGACGATTTTAGCGACATTATTTACCGGAATTGTTTCAAATTTGGTATTTGAAGTTCGTAATGGATACCGCAGCCTAAGACAGAAAATCAGCCATGTAGGTCCACGTCTTCGTATAGCCCCCATATAACGGAACTCCCCGATATTCGGTATTTTGACGATTTTAGCGACGTTATTTACCGGAATTGTTTCAAATTGGGTATTTGAAGTTCGTAATGGACACTACAGCCTATGCAAGAAAATTGTCTTTGCAGGTCCACGTATGGTACCTCCCTATATTCAGTATTTTATTTATTTTAGGTACATTATAAACAGATTTTTTTTCAAGTTAAGCATTTTAATATTATAATAGCTTATGACAAAAGTTGCTTATGCAGGTCCACGTCGTCGTATAAACCCTAATATACGGCTACATTCGGTATTTTTAAGATTTTAGCAGAATTTTTAATGGATTTTATTTTTTTTTTTTTTGAAAATTGCCAAATTTGTACCAAATGGTGGAGAATACTCAAAGGTCGGCCCGGCCGAACTTACAACTATTTTACTTGTTTTTATCAGTCTTTGGTCCGATACGAATTGGTCAATATTACCCAACTTCTTCGGAACCTTCCCCATAATGCGTCATAACAGTTTGAATAATCATAACTCAAGGCAGAGGGTATAGTACATCTGTCGGCAAAACCGACTGATACTATTTTACTTGTTAAAAAAATCCTTTTCGAAGTGATATCGTGCACCCGATACCAATGTTATTTGGTTTGAGAGGTATATATGCCTCCGACACATTTGATGAAAATCGATTCATGTATTAGTTTATTTAATTTGAAATTCAAAGGCATTGGCGCCCATTGGAAAGGTCTGTGACGAAAATTTAACATAATTTTGAGAAGGAGTTGTTCTTAGACAATAAAGGTGAACGCTGGTTGGATTCTTGTTGTATGATAGTTTAAAATGCATAACCATTTTTTATACTCTACACCACAAGGTGGTCGGGGTAGAATCACATTCTGAGTCGATTTATGCATGTCCGTCCGTCTGTCCATGTATTTTTGTGAACAAAGTACAGTTCGCATTTATTACCCGATCCAGATGAAATTTTGCACAAATCATTTGTTTGGCCCAAGGACGAACCCTATTGAAATTGGAGATAATTGGTAAAAAATTAGATATAGCTCTCATATATATGTTCGTCCGATTCGCCTTTTATTGTGCACCAAACGTGTAATATCAGCCCGAATAGTACGGAATTTTGCACATACAACCAAATTAGGCCTGAAAATAAGTACGCCAAATTTGATCGAAATCGGTTCAGATATAGGTATAGCTCCAATATATATTGTTCATCCGATTTTTTATTTAAGTCGTCCGCAGCCGTAATATGCACTCTGTAACAACAATATTTGGGAAAATATATCTAATACAGCTCAGAAATGCCTTTACCTTTAAATGTTATCGAGATCGGTTCGGATTTGGATATATCTCCCATATATAACTTCGTCCGATTTATCTTTTATTGTGCACAAAACGTCTAATATTAGACCAAATGGGATGAAATTTGGCACTTACCACGACCGAATTGAGTCTTGAAGCTAGTATGCCAAATTTGATCGAAATCGGTTCAGATATAGCTATAGCTCCCATTTATATATATTGTTCATCCGATTTGTTATATTTGTTACCCACAGCCGTAATATGCACTCCGTAACAACGATATTCAGGGAAATATATGAAATACAGCTCAGAAATATCTTTGCCAAATTTTATGAAGATCGGTTCAGATTTGGATATTGCTTCCATATATAATTTCGTCCGATTTACCTTTTATTGTGCACCAAATGTCTAATATTTGTCCAAATGGGATGAAATTTGGCACTTACGACCGAATTGAGTCTAGAAGCTAGTATGTCAAATTTGGTGAAGATCGGTTCAGATATAGCTATAGCTCCCATATATATTGTTCTTCCGATTTGTTATATATGTTACCCACAGCCGTAATATGCACTCCGTAACAACGATATTCAGGGAAATATATCAAATACAGCTCAGAAATATCTTTGCCAAATTTTACCATGATCGCACTATGGGTTTTTTTACGTTTATTTTGGCATAAACTCTAATTTCAAAGCTATTGAATTGAAATTTGGTTTGTATGCATTTTTTATGCTTCGAAGATGACCTACCAATTTTCATATGATTTGGGGCACTATTTCATATAGCTGCTATATAGCCGATTTGGCCGATTTGACCCAACTTTTTTGTTTATGAAGCTATTGAAGTGAAATTTGGTTTGTATTCATTTTTTAAGCCCCCCCAAGATGACTTACGAATTTTCATATGATTTGGGGCACTATTTCTTATGTAGCTGCTATATAGCCGGTCTGGCCTATTTGACCCAACTTTTTTATTTATGAAGCTGTTGAAGTGAAATTTGTTTGGTATAAATTTTTTATTCTCCCAAGATGACCTACCAATTTTCATATGATTTGGGACACTATTTCATATAGCTGCTATATAGCCGATCTGACCGATTTGACCCAACTTTTTTTTTATGAAGCTATTGAATTGAAATTTGATTTGTATTCATTGTTATGCCCCCAAGATGACCTACGAATTTTCATATGATTTGGGGCACTATTTCATGTAGCTGCTATATAGCCGATCTGGCCGATCGGCTATGATGATTTGGAGAAACATACTGCTCATTCATTACAATAATTATACTTTTGCTAAGCCATTTTGAATGTTTAGTTTTAAATCGCTCTAGTTTACGGATACACTTTGGCAAATGCTTTTTTATATAATTAACAAAATCTTTCACTTGTTTTGATATCAAACGCATTTGGTCTTCATTTAAACTGATATTATTGATATTCTGTAACTCATATTTCACAAGTGCATCTTCTGAGCGATTGTTGCTTCTCCAAATTTCAATAAGCGCTGCATGGACAACACATGTTTATCTGCAAAACACGTGTTGGCACAAAATAGAACAAAAAAGGCTAGTTACTCATTAATTAACACACTTTTGTTAATAACTTGACATTTATACCTTTTTGCAATGCTTTGCCATTCACAAGTTACACTCCACGGAACACAACTACAATTTATAGATTTTATATAAAGCTATACATAAATGAAACAATTCACAGTATTACAACAACAGACAATTATGACAAAAAGGGCACCTCGTCTTAATTTTACATACCTGCACTAACGTTTTCCATAATTACACATTTTATTTTTTTTCAATTTTGTCAAATCAGAAGCACTTGAACTTAGCTGATCTTTACCGCCAGTTGTACCAAAACAAAGTGACTTTCAAACAGCTGACTTTAAAAGCTCGCCAGCAAAAAAGGGTTGCCACCCGTATTGATATTAAACATTTTTTTTTCTAATATGGGTATCTACATTTAGAAAATCAGTTAAATTTCAAAATATTAAACAAAAAAAAAAATGACTTTATGCCAAAAAATCATGCTTTTTACCCATAGTGGATCGGTTCGGATTTCGATATAGCTCCCATATATATCAAATGGGAAATACAAGTCCGAATTTAAAAGATACAAATGCTTCGGCATATCTAGTTTTTTGAACATTAAATTATAATCATAGCGTGTATGATTGAATTCTGCCATAAAAACTTTTAATTGTTCTGTGGAGCTCTGTGGAAATTAGCAAAGACGTGTAGGATATCGTAAAGTCGGCCCTGACCGACTTTAAGACTTTTTTTTTTTTTGACTTTATCTTAAGGGCATGAAGCCATGGTCGAAATACTTACCTATAACTACCGGGCGTGTTGGTGCAAACTGCATTGTTTTGACATCCCAGATCTGTGCCAGCCAAGAGATAACACTCATCGACATCTTCTTCGCATGATTTACCCTACGAAAATAATAAACAATGCAATGCCTCAGAAACGCCCCTTATTTCAACAATTATTTCATTTCAAATGAAAGTACCACTCCTCATTACCTGCCAACCATCGGGGCACTCACAGTGATATCCTTTGTATAGATCATAACATGTTCCGCCATTTTTACAGGGACCATCTGTGCACTCATTTTGCGATACGTTCTCCTCGATCACCGAAAGACGCATTGTCAAACGATTCAGGCGACGTAAAAATTGTCGCATAACACGCATTTTCAAAGTGTTCCGGGTGTTATTTTCAAAATGGGAAAATCGTTGCACTAATCTAGAAATACCCTCTCGTAGCTTATGAACTTCATCACTGACCGATTTACGACTGAAAGTTGTCGATTTATCCTCATAAGTATATAGTTGATGTATCTCTTCCAAAATATCCGTATCATTGAATATCAGCGATGAGCCTTGATTCAATCGAAGATGTATATTTTTATCCCGCACTGATTGTAACGCTAAACCACCATTTTTGCTAAGGATTTGTGGTTGATTGTCGTTTGAGGCACTGGCGATTGTGGGAAGTATTGGGAATAGGAGGCAAATAACATAACTCGCGAGAAGTAATTGCATTTTGTTTCGTTTTATTCAAATATTGAAGATTTTATGTTAAAGAGTAACACATATTTTCAAAATTCGATTGTTTTCTTGGTGGCTTGAAGTTGTTCGCTTAAATAAAAGTGCCAACGTACTGATAAGAAAGTTGCACATTGCATTCGTATTTATACCACAGAGGGGCGTTGCAATTTATTATGTACGCACATATCAAGAGAAAGTTTTCGCGTACATCACTTGGAAAAGCTCATTGTTGTCAATATACAGTGGATACAGAAAAATACTGTCAGACAGAGTTTCCCTCTTGCCCTTATTTAAGAATATCTGAGCTGCAAATGTGGACATTTGAAAAATATTTTCTAACTACAATTCGATCTTTTAACATGGATTTTCAAAAAATATTTTCACCTACCATCAGAGTTGCTATTGTGGATTTTTTTTAAGACAATTGAACATCTTAATTTTCTTAAAAATCTTAAAAAAAAATCTAAAGGGTGCGATGAAAAAACTGCAACCAACTTCAGACTGCTGTCATTTCTAAGCCACTCGTCCGACAGCTGTTAATATTATTTCAGTGACAGCTCATTATATTGTTTACAAGCGTACGAAAGCATTTTGGTGAGAATTTTTCAGAAAAAAAGTTATTCGTGATGGAATTCAAGCGTGATAGTGCGATTTCTTTATATTTGCCTGAAAAGCCATAAGTCGGTATCGTTAGAGCTGATGTCAAGGAAGTGGACGGAAGAAAACAGCAACATCAGCAGAAATTGTTTGAGAAGTAAAGCAGCGACTTGATCGAAGCCCGCGACGCAGTGGACGAAAAATGGTTCGTGAGCTGAACATATCGCAATGTTCCATTCGGCAAATATTGAAAAATTAGATCGGGGTCAAACCATTTTTTTTAAACAAACAAAACGATTGTCTTCACTTGCGAAAGAGGTCAGCTGAGAGGTCGCACTCAGCACGCGCCACCCCAGAATGTTTGCAAAATGGGGTTGCTCGCTTCTTTTTCAGAGCAAAATCTCCGTATACCAATCCCTTGGGCCATTGTGTCTGGAGTATTTTGGAAGGCAAGGTTTGCACTAATAAATACCTAAGTGTCGATCACCTCAAGTAATTTGGCATTTTTTTTTTTTGGTACCAGATTTTGTCGTTCTTTCCGAATTCCAGCGGCCATCTGGAGAGTTTGGTGCCCATTGTGCTCTGGAAATGAAGCGAGGAACCTTATTTTGTAACCATTCTTGGGTAGAGCGTGCCGAGTGCGATGGTGCTGAGTCCTGTTGGAATGTCCAAGGTCTACGGCCAAAATGTTTGCATGCCCAAGGCTTTAATACACCCTCCAAAATATTTTCGCGATAATATTCAGCATTTATTCTATTGCCACGGTCAATTAATACGAGAGGAGAGCGACCATCGGCAGTTATGGCGGCCCACACCATCACCATGGCCGGCTTGAGTTCTTGTGGCCAACCGAAGGTGCACATTTTCAGCTGACCTCTTTGGCAAGTAAACACGATCATTTTGTTTGTTTACAAACTGCTGGACAACGAACGTTTTCTCATCGGAAACGGAGAAGACCCAATTCGGCAGTTCACCACTTTCAGCCAAGCGAATGAACTCTTTAGCTCTTTTGAGTCTATTTTCTTTCTGTTGTTGTTGCGGTGTAAGTTCTTGTACTTTTTGGGAATTTCAATGTCTTTACCCCGAGCTCATTTTTCAATATTTACCCAATGGAATATTGCGATATGTTCAGCTCAGGAGCCATTTTTCGGCCACTGCGATGCGGGTTTCGATTAAGTCGCTTCTTTACTTTTCGAACAATTTCTGCTGATGTTGCTGTTAACTTCTGTCCAGTTCCTTGGCGTCGGGCTACGCTACCAGAAACAAAAGATTTACTCTCATTTAAATGCTGGAGTGCTCTAACGATAGCCACTTGTGGTTTTCCAGCCAAATATAAATAAATTACACTATCACGCTGGAATTCTATCACGAATAAGTTATTTTCTGGAAAATTCTCACCAAAATGCTTTTGACGCTTGTAAACTATATAATGAACTGTCACTGGAATAATTTAGAAATGACAGCAGTCTGAAGTTGGTTGCAGTTTTTTCATCTCACCCTGTAAATGCTTGAAATGTACTAATTCCAAATCGTACTGATATTAAATTAGGTGAAGGGTTAAAGCTGGAATTCTGTAATGTGATATGTGTGATATAGCTGTTTTTATCTGTGGTTGAGAGAATGAGCGGGAGTAGAATTTTATGTTTTTATATTTTGTTGAAACGGAATTTTCAACCATATTTTGAAAAAGTACTTAAGACCCATTCATTAACTCGCTTGAGGGTTTAAATTTTAGCAAAATATTGCTCGTATCTTCATCTGCCATATTTCCGAAGACACTATTTCCCAAAAATGCACGGATTTCGGGGAATCTTAATCCCAAAAATTCCCCTCTATTAAGCTTCTTTGTGGATACTTTCAAAACTGTGATGTCATCATGTCTACTTTTTCATCTCTACTTTCATAATATGCTGGAATTTTCCCGTAATTAATTTTTCCTGTAGCACAGTGTAATTATTTAAATGTATAATGTAATAAATTTTATAAATATAATTTTATTATTTATATATTATTTTTAATCTTATATAATTACTTATAATTTATACATTGTATTATTAATTCCCTGTGTTTTCCACAGTATATCCCAAATACCAGCCGGTTCCATCAAAGTTGGGCGATTTCTTCGAGACAATCATGGCACGATTTGAGGTAGTCACAACAGCATCTGGGAAATTTGCACCGCACAGTGTCGATATCAGTTTCTGGCTATTATCTGGCATTATATCGTAGATCTTGACATTATCCAAGTGGCAATTGATATCTGCACCCATATTGAATTCTAAAAAATTAAAAACGAAATTTTTGAATTAATTTTACAAAACAACCTTTGCAAATGTACTTACCAATGAATTGTATGCGTATTTTATTCGGTGCCGGCAATGTTATATTCCAATAACATTCCGAATAATTGCGATCGTTTTCATATTGTGGACTGGCCATGTAGGCTTCCTTGGCATGGAAAATGCCACCACATCCTGGCCCCGAATTGCGATCACTCACCCAGTAGTTCAGATTAGTGTAGTAGATTTTTCGCATTAGAATTTGAAGTTTGTTGGTAGCTGTGTAAATTGGTAACCCGCTAACGGACGTATTACAGCTGTTAAATAGGGATTTATTGGTCTTGAGGTTGATTATCTGGAATTAAGAGGGGCAATTTTGTTTCTTTTTAGAATAAAGGGATTGTTAGTAACAAATAATATTGTTCCAAATAAGTTTTCTCCCAGATGGATTTTAAAGATAAAATACTTAGTACTGGCATTTCATAGATAGTTAACCTTCTACAGAACTGCCACAGATAGAGAACCTTTTATAGATTTTTATAGGCGGTCTTAATTATTTTACGAGTATCCATACATGGCTTTACATGGAACTTTGTTCGATAAACGACTTTAACCGTGGATTCTTTTTAACAACTTAAGGAAGGTCCACGCTGGCTTTTCAAAGTAATTTCTTAATATTTGGAAAAGGATCTGTTCACGAGTTTACGTGGAATTTTTCAATACAATATGAAAAAGATTCATACAGGACTTTATGGGTGCATTCGTTAAATAATGTCTGGAGCAACCAATCATGACTCCAAACGTGGATTATTTACAGAGTTAGGAGTATCCGTACTGAGCTTTGAACAGTATTCTCTTTAAATTCCCAAATAGAATATTGAACTTGATTTTTTGTAAATCTTTAAAAGATCCAGACAGGCTTTTAAAAATGTATTTTAAACTATTTTCGGTGGATATATTGGGTGCTTTAAACGTTATTTTTTTTCAACAATTTCCAGGAGCATTCAGACACAATTTTTGATAAAAATGACTTTTTACACAATTATTTTTTCAACATTTCAGGACGGCCCAAACAGGTCGTTAAACATGTTTTTATTAAAATTATTTCAGGAGGATTCAAACAGGGCATAAACGTGAATTTTTCAACCATATAAGGACGGTCCAAAAAGGACATAAAACGTGTTTTTTAAAACAATTTCAGGAGGATTCAAAAACGACTCTTAATAAGGGTTCGAAAAGGACCTTTAATGTGATTGTTTTTCAAAGATATCAGGACGGTCCGAATAGGACATAAGAAGTGGACTTTATAAACAATTTAGAAATAAATCTTAATAAGGATTCGTAAAGGACTTTCAATTTGAATTTTTTAAACGATATCAGGACAGTTCAAATAGGACACAAAACGAGAATATTTTAAACAATTTCTCGACGATTCAGGCATGACTCGAAAAGGACCTTTAATGTGATTTTTTTTCCAAACAGTTTAAGGAGGATCCGAACAGGATTTTTAAACGACAGGGCTTTTATATAACAATTGTTTTTCTAATAATTTCAGAAGGATTCAAATCGATCTTTACGGGTGGACAAGCAGGACTCAAACCTGAATTTTTGCAATGATAGCAGGCATTCCAAGTAGAACATAAAACGTGGATTTTTTTTAACAATTTCAGGAGGATTCGCACAGGACTTAAAAATGGATTTCTTTTAACAAATTTGGAGTATTCAAACATGTGTGAAATGTTATTTTTTCGACGATATCAGGACGATAAGGGTATAAAACGTGGATTTTTTATACCATTCCAGTCCAGTTTAAATCAGGAATTTAATGTGTTTTTTTTTCGACAATATCAGAACGTTAAAAGTAGGACATAAAATGTGGATTTTATAAACAATTTCAGGAGGATTCAAACAAGACTTAAACATGATTTTTTTCGACGATATCCGGACAGTCTAAGTAGAACATAAAACGTGGACTTAAATGTGATTTTTAAACATTTTCAGGAGGATTCATATATGACTCTTAATAAGGATTCGAAAAGGACCTTTAGTGTGCATTTTTTTAACAATTTCAGGAAGATTCTTATAAAAGATTCGAAAAGGACCTTTAATGTGCATTTTTTTTTTTTAAATTTTCAGGAGGATCCAAAGAGAAATTTAAAATTGGAATTTGAAACGATTTCGGGTGGAATCATGCAGGAACTATTGCTTGGATTTTTAAGCCGCTTCGGAGGGGCCAAGACAGAACTCTAAAGCGATTTTTTTTAACAATTTCAAGAGATACATAAATAACTATAAACATAGTTTTATTTTATTGTCGGACTTGATTTATTTCAGGACTTTAAATTAACAAGTTTTAAGAATTTTTTATACCTTCAGCCATATGGCTGCAGGGGGTATATAACCTTCTATAGAGCCAAAACGTGCCTTGTCGAAATAAAGGTCTCTTTGGACCAAATCCGTTTCAGGACATTCGAAGTCGGTATGGCTGGTGTGCTCGAAACCTATCGAAGCGAGTACCCGAATTGTTCCAAACTTTGTACATCGTAATATTATTGTCAAACTTAGATCAAGTTCGGAGATCGGCAATATCGGATCATTCCCTCTGGTACTTCCCCCGCAAAGGTCAAAAATTTCGGAGAAAAGAAAATTTGGGCAAACTTTGCAAGTCCCAATAATTTTGCCAGTACTACGTCAGGTGTAAACCAGTAAAGGAAGTCCTAAAGTCGGGCGGGGCCGATTTTATGATACCCTACACCACTTTGCTAATTTAGTTGAGCTCCACTTAATAATTAAAAGTTTTTATGGGAGAATTCAATCATACACGCTATGATTATAATTATAATTTAAAATTCAAAGGACTAAATATGCCGAAGCATTTGCATCTTTTAAATTCGGACTTGTATTGTCCATTTGGTGCGAAATTAATTTGAAATCGGATAAAAATATATATGGGAACTATATCCAAATCTGAACCGATCTCGATAAAATTTGGCAAAGATATTTCTGAGCTGTATTTGATATATTCCCTGAATATCGTTGTTACGGAGTGCATATTACGGCAAATACAATAAATCGGATGAACAATATATATATATACGGTTCACTCCTTCTGGTACCTTCTCCACAACGGGTCAAAATTTCGATTTAGCTATATCCGTCCGACTGCCTGTCTCTTCGTCTGTGGAATGTATTCTAGCTTCCGAATGAATTGAAGTAGAGTAATAAAATTTTTCTCAGATGTGTCTATGGTCTGCAGGACTTTTGGTATTGTAAGTGGGCTATATAGGTCAACGTTTAGGTATAGCCCCTATATAACTGTACCTCCCTATATTCGATATTTTAATGATTTCGGCGACATTATTAAGCGGAATTGTTTGAAATTTCGTATTCGAAGTTCCTAATAAGATCAGAAGTCTATGACAGAAAATTATCTTTGTAGGTCCAGTTATTCGTATAGCTCCCATATATCGGTACTTCCCTATATTCGGGATTTTGACGATTTTAAGTACAATATTCACAGGAATTGTTTCAAATTTTGTATTTGCGCTTCACAATCGGTACTAAAGCCTGTGACAGAAAATGCAGTTCCACGTCTTCGTATAGATCCAAAAAAAAAAAGGTGACACTCTGTATTTTTATCCCAGTATTTTTACGATTTTAACAGAATTGTAAATGGATTCTATTTTTTTTTTAAATTTCCAAATTCGTTAAACATGGTGTAGGGTATGCAAAGTTCCAACCTTCCGAACTTACTGATTTTTAACTTGTTAATTTTCCTATAGCTCTTAGAAATTCACCCCTTATAAATTTTAAGCCCTCTATCTCCAAAACTCACCTGCATATCCAGGGGATCACAATTGCCGGAGTCCTGGTGATATATATCACGAATATATAAATTCAGGTTGTACATTTCGGGAACAATAATGGTGTCGTTCTTAAAGGTATCACTGTAAGAACTGCTTATGCTACCACTCAACTGGGTGTGGGTATGATTTTCAGCTGGAAATAATTTTTACACATTTTTTTTAGATAAAGTAAAAATTCCGCATTTAATTTACATACCTTCCTTCTTTAAAACTGCCATTTCAAATCCTCTTCCCTCAATTCGATCATCACTGTGGAATGTTATTTCCACTGTCAGATTCACTGGAGGATCAACTCCCGCATAACGATCTACATTAATGACATAATTTGAGCTTTGGCCACAGAGCTCATCGGAAAGCTAAAGAAAATTTTGGAATTCAGATATTATTTTTCCTTTTTAAAATTGGAGGAGATCCCGGGACTTACATCATCATAACTAAGTTTTATATAGTCCAAACACTTGCCATTCACCTGGGAGGTATTTTGCAAATCAATGTATTTGAAGTGTAGCAAAAGGGGATAGGTGGCATGTATTTTCCATTTGCAGTGGACATTGGGACGATAGACGCTATCGCCGTTTTGGGGAAACACCAGAGTTAGATTCTAGAGGAAATACAGGGAGAATATATTAATATTTCATTGGAGGAGAAGTTTTAAGAATTCCTACCTTCTGCCCCGCAAAATCATACTCCATCTGTGTGCCACATTCCGTCTTCTCCATGGTCAAACTTATTTCAAAACTATATTCACCCCTCTGCTTGGCTGTGAACTTTATTACGGCCTCTTCGTAGGAACTGAAAATTGTTGAATTTGTTGGCGAGCAAATTTTAGCCATTGACATTTGTCGAATGTCCGCGGGACCATCAAACATTTCCAGGGAATTACAATTCGAATTTCCACAGCTGGTGTCGGAATTCAAACAGTGTGTGGTATTGCCATTGATCTGCAACTTGTTGAAACGCATTTGTATGCGATGTCCTTTCAGTGCCGTAATGCGGTACAAACAGATTCGCCAGTCATCCGACCCATTTGACAATTTATAATTACGCGTCAGGGTAATGGATGTGGTGCCCTCCGTCAGCGATACACGTTCATTACAATTCACAAGGAATATAACTTCAGCCTCAAAACCCCTGGCCGTATTCGAAACATCCGAAATGGCCTCGACACGAGCCTCCGCCTGATCTATTAGCACTTCCGGTGGATTCTCGCTGTAGTTGCCACTCAGCTTTGTCACAAGCCTATCCTCCGTTTGTCCAGTGTGACCCCTAAAAATGCTGACATGATCGAAATTCTCCTCCGTATCGAAATATTTAAATTTCACCAAAATCGAATGATCCTTGGGAGCGGTGATGTGCCACAGGCAGTTCATGTTGTTGGCATACTGGCCCCTTGTGATTTCGTGTTTTTGCGGTCGTATCAGGAAATGGGAGCTCGTTATGTTGGCACTGCAACTTTCCAAGCTGTATTCAATTGTAAAGCTTCTTAGGCTATAGCCCTCATAGGAAAGTTCGAGATACTTCAATGCCGACTCATCGAAATCCTGTTGGCACAACTTGTCACCAATCTGCTGCTCACCCTGGGCATTACGTTTGCTTACCGTAAACGATTGGATGCAGCCACGTCCATATGACCAAACCGGAGATGATCCCTTTTCGAATACAACCCTGACACTTATCATTCGTTGAGTGTCATTGCTTTGGAAAATGTAGCTACAGCGATCCAGTTGGCGCCCAAACTGTGATGTAGGACTCACCACACTGCGTGGGGTCGTGTCGACATTAAGTGTCACCGAACACCTGCTGCGTACCAAAAATGAAAAACCATCACCTCTAATGGACGCATCGGTACGAAAAACTAGCTGTACCCGCGAAGATGTTGCATTCAGCCCGTCTGGTAAATTTCGACCACAATAACGTCCATGTGTTAGCCAAAGGCCATCTTCTTCATACTGCACTTCCAAATAGTCTTTAGTGCAATTTGGCGATTCCTCGATGAAAAAGCGATTGACAAACTCCACCTGTATGTAACGACCCGGGTTGGTATAGAACACCCACGAACATTCCTGATTATCCTTGTAGAACTCCCGATCGATGTCATATCTCAAAGTTCCAAAGTTTGTAACTTTGGTCTCGCCCCCACATTTCAAGGCCTTTCTCGTTTCAATGGCAATTCGTGATTTTTGGGAATTAAAGTTGTCGCTCTGATAGGTCACAAAGGTCATGAAATTCGACAGAGGATAATTTTTCAATTCATTGGCATTGTCCTTGCATATTTTTTTCACCACCTCCGACGACCATCGTCCCTCCCTGATGGTAACAAATTCTCGTTCACATGCATCACTGAATGTGAAATTTCCAAATAGATGATATTCCGATTCGGAGCCCACAAATGTAATGGGTATGATGAAGGTCCAAAGACACACCAAGGGTCCATAGTTGTTGTCATTAATTTCCGTTACTCCCATCTGATATTGTCGTTCGGTAAGATACACCTGGCCACCGCATTTATGCAGCCGATAATTCATTTTCAGGCGGTGTATCCGTTCATATTCCGTCTGCTTTACACGCCATTCGCCGTTCAGCTGATTATGTGGCTGCAACACATTTGTTAGATTTTCAGTATAGGCTGTGGAAACTATACCATCGCGAAAACTCAGGGCAGGATGCTTGAAACGACTACCGGCCACGTGCCTGTATTCAAATGTACTTATATTGAAGGCCAGCGTATGTCCCGAATTGAATTTGATTTTCGAAATACAAGCATAACTAGCATTAAATGGCGGTAGGGTATTTTGTATTTCCACCGATCCGGCCTTGTTATTCTCATCGATATTTCGTGGGCAAATGGAGGGCTCATCGGATGTATAGCGGGCTTTGATTTTACGACCAAGAAATAGTTTTCCTGTTGTCGTAATTTTAACGGCCATCACATTGTCCGTAGATTGTATAACGGCATTCGAATCATAAGTTGCAGCCGAAAAATTAGTGATCAACGATATCCTATCGAAGTCGTTGTGTATGCGGAATTGGGGATACCTGAAAGGGATAAGGTATGAGAAGTTAATAAAACAGCTGTTTAGGGATTGATATATCGAATTCGCGCAATCGGGTATCAAGTATCAAGGGGAAGGAGAGAAAAAAATGTACGGCACGTTGGGTACTAGGTGTGGGCCATGTCCGTGGAGATACATTTAAATGTAATTAACAAAAAAACAAACCAATTTAATTTTTCATCGGTTCAGAAAGGGTTAATAAAGTGAGAGAGAGAGACAGAGCGATGTAGAGCAGAGGGAGAGAGAGAAAGAAGAAGTAAGCAAAAGAAAAACCAGTAAGGAAAGGTGAAAAGTCGGGCGGGACCGACTATACAGGGTGAGATGAAAAAACGGCAACCAACTTCATACTGCTGTCAGCTGTCGTCCGACAGCTGTTAAAATTATTCCACTGACCGCTGATTATATTATTTACAAGCATACAAAAGCATTTTGGTGAGAATTTTCCAGAAAAAAAGTTATTCGCGATGGAATGCAAGCGTGATAGTGTGATTTCTTTATATTTGGCTGGAGAACCACAAGTGGCTATCGTTAGAGCACTTCCGCTTTTAAATATGAATAAATCTTCTGTGTCTCGTACCATCGCTCGTTACCGATTACGTAACACTGATAGCGTAGCGCGACGTCAAGGAAGTGGACGGAAGAAAACAGCAGAAATGGTTCGAAAAGTAGGGAAGCGATTTGATCGAAGCCCGTGTCGCAGTGGCCGAAAAATGGCTCGTGAGCTCAACATATCGCAATATTCCATTCGGCAAATATTGAAAAATGAGCTCGGTGTAAAGCCATTGAAATTTCAAAAAAGTGCAAGAACTTACACCGCAACAGAAAGAAAATAGACTGAAAAGAGCTAAAGAGTTGCTTCACTTGGCCGAAAGTGGTGAACTGCCGAATTTGGGTTTCTCCGTCTCCAATGAGAAAACATTCGTTGTCCAGCAGTTTGTAAACAAACAAAGACCAAAGAGGTCAGCTGAAAATGTGCACCTTCGGTTGGTCACCAGAACTCGAGCGCCAGCCATGGTGATGGTGTGGGCCGCCATAACAGCTGGTCGTCGCTCTCCGCTCGTATTATCGACCGTTTCAGGTTTCTCACTTCAGTTTCAGCGCACAATGGCCACCAAAATCTTCGGATATCAATCCGATGGACTATTGTGTCTGGAGTATTTTGGAGGGCAAGGTTGTCACTAAAAAATACCAAAGTGTCGATCACCTCAAGCAAGCGCTTCGCCGGGAATGGGCCAAAATACCGCGGAGCAACATTCGGGCAACGTGTGACGGTTTCATTGGCCGTTTGAAGGCCATAATTCGTGCCAAAGGTGGCCAATTCGAACAAAGCTAAACTTCTTCTAAAATTTTATGTTATTTCCGACATCTTTTGCTTTCATTCAATTAGAGCTATAGCTATATCTGAACCGATTTTCAGCAAAATTTGAAGTACTAGCTTCTGGCCTGAATTCTGTCGAAAGTACCAAAATTCATGCTATTTGGGTTGATATTAGCCATTTGGTGTATAAAAAAAACTGAAATCGGATAAATATATATCCTGGAGTTATATACAAATCTGAACCGACCTTGGCAAAATTTTAAGCACTAATTTCTGAACAGTGTCTGATATCTGGTACCAAACATCATTGTTGTGGAGTGTATAATACGTATGTGAGCGACTTAAATACCAAATCGGATAAAACATATATATGGGAGCTATGGCTATATCTGAACCGATTTTCAGAAAATTTGAAGTCGTTGTTTCTAGGATTAATTCGGTCGGATGTGCAAAGATTCAGTTCATTTGGGATGATGTTAGCCATTTGGTGTACAATAAACCTGATATCGGATAAAGATATATATTGGAGCTATATCCCAATCTGAACCGATCTTGACAAAAAAAAACATGGACAGACGGACGGACGGGCATCGCTAAATCGACATAGAATTTTATAAAACGAAAGATAATTTTACTTACTCGGTAACATTTTCCGCTCTCAGTTCGTCCATATTTAAAAATTCCAAACGAACTCTTTGTCCCTTCGGTACCGTAATTCGCCATTGGCAATAGGAATCCATGAAACTCAATTGGACAATGGTGGTAATAAAACCCGAAATGCCCTCAATATTTTGTTGGCAATTGCTAAAAAGTCGGCCATAGCTTAGCTTGAAACCTCGATAGTCCGTCGTCTTGGCAAATGTGTGGAAACGTATGATTGCCCGGCTTGTGTTCAGTTGGATGCGGGTGGACTTTGTGGCATTGCCATAGATGAAAATACGCGGCTCTTCTACACCTTCCTCCACCTCGGCATTCTGGGGGATTTGAATGATCTCCAAATGATCGCGGGATTTCGGTTGCTTCGCATCGAATGGCAAATGAATATCGTCCAAAGTTAGACGCACATACTGGCCCGTGGCCATTGTTACACTATAGTCACACTGCGAGAAAGCGGGGTATGCTCCCACTGTGGGATAACCGTGCGACATAATTTGCCCACTAAATTCCCTGTAGGAACCACCACATTTGCTGAGTGACACTTGGGCCTTGAAACCCCTCATAGCATTGTTTGTGTTCACCACATAGCGAATGTGAAGGATGTTTTGGGTGGTCTTCTGAACGTCGGGTTTTCTGCAGAAACGTCCCAAACTCCGAGCCAGGGTTGTGGATCCATCGAACAGTTCCACATAGACATTTTCACACACCCTAGGTGTCACATGAAAGCTTTCGATAAACTCCACCTGTATAGTTTCACCGGGAGGTGCAATAATGGTCCAGCTGCAGTCCGTGTAGGCCGGTGCAACATAGGGGAAATTCGGTGAGGTAATATTTATGCTGGGTGCCTCGGGTATAAGACGATACTCTTCGTTGCAGGTGGAGTATTCGCGATATGTTAAATTCCATCTAGCCGGCATTAGGGGACGATGGGAACAGAAGACGTACTTCACTGTCAGATGGTTGCTCGACGAATTCATATGAATTTGTGATTGGTTTTGGGCATTCCATAGTTTGCCAGGTGGCAGAATTGGGGCATGTTCGTCCACGCCATCGTAGACCAAGGCATATTCAAGACAATCTCTATGACTGTAGTTGGCTAACACTTGGAAATCGAATTGCAAAAGTATCCGTTTACCCGGTTTCACGTTGATGTGCCACAAACAACCCGTATCAAACACCAGCTTTCCACCCTCAATAAATCCCAGCGACTCAGTCAGATTCGAACCACATTTGGTCGATATCATTGCCTTGAAACCGGTGCCATTAATTGTAGAATCGGTTTTAAAGTCAAATCTCAAATGTGGACTGCCATGATATGTGCGAAAAGCCCGGCCGGACATATCCGGACTATCGCAGAGCGTTTCCAAAGCATGCCACTTACTGAGGTCCGTCGATGTGGAAACTCTCAGATAATCCAAGGCACATTCTTGATTCTTCTCCAATTTGACTTCGTATAAATAGCCGATGATATGTTCGATTGGACTAAGGGGCTTATAAATCCAACTGCAATTCAGATTATTTTCATAGCCATTGGGATAGCCGGGAGATTGAAGGAACATCATTTTATGTGAAGCAAAGAAATGTTCCGAATGACAAGTGTCGTCTGTTGTGTTATCCGCTGGCGGTTTTGTGCCCGTGACATTCCATTTCAAGGAGAAGTAACGAAGCTTGTCATTGATCGTTTTCAAATAGACTGCACTGGTCGAGGTAACAAATTGCCAGGGTGAGGGAGGAATGTCAATGGGAAGTGCGCTGTCATCGTAGCCGTCAAAGAGCTGGAAATGGTGAGAGGGAGAGAAGAGACCTTTTTTTTGAAGATTTGGGTATGTACAGAAGATCAGAAGATGTGTGGAGACATGGGAATCTAGGGAATCAGGTTATCTTCCTATAGAATATCAGGAGGAGGAGATATGTAGATCTTCCACAGAAGATCTGTAGATCTTCCATAGAAGATCCGTAAATCTTCCATAGAAGATCCATAGATCTTATATAGAAGATCCGTAGATTTTACATTAAAGATCTGTAGATCTTCCATAGAAGATCTGTAGATATTCTTTCATAGAAGATCTGTAGACCTTCCATAAAAGATCTGTAGATCTTCCATAGAAGATATTAAAATCTTCCATAGAAGATCTGTAGATCGTCCATAGAAGATTAGTAGACCTTCCATAGAAGATCTGTAGATCTTTCATAGAAGGTCTGTAGATCTGCCATATAAGATCTGTAGACCTTCCGTATAAGATCTGTAGATCTTCCATAGGAGATCTATAGATATTTCATAGAAGATTTGGAGATCTTCTGGAGAATCAATAGATCTTCCATAGAAGATCTGTAAATCATGCATAGAAGATTTCTATATCTTCCAAAGAAAATCTATAGACCTTTCAGAGAAGATCCGTAGATCTTCCATAGAAGATCTGTCGATATTCCATTGAAGATCTGTAGATCTTCCAAAGAAGATGTCAAGATCTGAAATTTAAGATCTGTAGATCATCCATAAAAGACCTGTAAACCTTCCATAGAAGATCTGTCGATCTTCCAAGAGATAGTAGATTTTCATTCAAGATATGTAGATCTTCCATAGAGGATCTATACATCTTCCATAGAAGATCTTCCAAAGAAGATCTATAGATCTTCCGAAGGAGGTCCCCAGATCTTCCAAATAAGGTCTCAGGATCCTCCAAACAAGATTTGTATCTCTTCCATAGAAGATCTGTAGGTCTTCCATAGAAGATCTGTAGGTCTCCCATAGAAGATCTGTAGGTCTTCCATAGAAGATCTGTAGGTCTTCCAAGGAGGATGTGTAGATTTTCCACTTTTTCCTTCCATGGAAGGTCTATACATCTTTCATAGAAGATCTGTAGATCTACTAAAATCTACTCACCATCAGTCCATCACTGTAGTGATCAAAATTCAAACTTATAAATTGTCCCGTTTGCAAAACGATGCGCCATATAAATGGCTCCTCCTCATGATTTACCATGCCGGCGGGTGGTGACTCAATGGAACCCCGCGATTGATTAATAAACTCATTCAGATGGGCTGTGAATTACAAAAAAAGTTAAATTTTTTAAAATTTCCAAACCCACATCCATTTCCATACCATAACTCCATTTCAATTTAAAACCTTTGCCCGTACTGCCCTCTGCACTGTGGAATTTCATCCAGACACTTTCGAAAGATCTCAAAACTTCTGAGGGTAGCTGATTGCCACAATAGACTCCCATCAATGGTGAGTTGATCGTCTTTCTCACCTCCAAGAAATCTTCATTGCAGTGATCACTCTTCGTGATGTTCATCTCTTCGAATTGCAGTTCCAAATGATTGCCTTTGTTGGCCTTTATTGTCCATTGGCATTCGACATTTGGGGGATAGTTTTGCGGATAGTACGGTGATGCCAAGGTGCCATGTGGCGATTCGATGCTGCCACCGCACGAATGTTGTATCGTTGAAAATCGGGCATAGAAATCGATATTGTTGGCGATTAAATTGAGCTGAGAGACTTCGTACAACAAATTGGATTGATGTTCTTCGCAGAAGAATTCAGTGCTGTTATCATTGCCGTCCCCCAAATAGTTAATCTGAAAGAGAGTATTGATATGGAGGGATTAGGTTTGGTTCTCAGAGATGTGCTAGTAAAGATGTTAAAGAGTCCTTATTTTGGGAAAGGAGTCAGATTTTAGGTCACCACGCTCCCTTTTGCTAAAGGGCGAAACGAACTTCCGGATACGAGGTAAAGGCAAAGCTAGCCTTTGAGGGTGATGGCTGAAAACTTACAGATAAAAACACAAGGATTGTTTTGGTCGCAAATGTTAACCCTCAAGTAAGTCAAACAAAACCAGCTATTTTCCTCGGATTCAGATTCCTCGGAATCCCAACATTTTAGCTATTTAAAGTGTTTGGCGATATTACAGATAAAAACACAAGGAGGTACAGCCGTTTCGCATGGGCGTTGATGAATCGTTAGGTCAGTCAGTCAGTTAGTCCATAACACAATCAGTCAGATTACTTACCCCCAAACCATGCCTACCACACGTGCCGTGGTCACCTCGATTAGCTTCCTCCTCCTTGCAGTAGCAGTAGAATTTCAAAATATTTATACTAATTAGAGAACCTTCAATGCAAAAAAAATCGATTAATAAATTAAACCCCCAAACTCAGGACCCAACTTACCCTGCGGAACATCAAATGACCAATTGCATTTCTCATCCGCCTTGGCATACAAAAATCCTTCATCGGTTTCAATTCGGCCACCGCATTGTTTTTCATAATCCAATGCAAAACGGCTACCCCCTTGGGCCCGTTCATCCACATATTCAATAATGATGCTACTCGTTGGAAATTGCCGACTCACCACATGCTCCTGCGAAGATGAACACCATTTTTCCAACAATTTTTCTTGACCATCAACCCGGGTGGAAATGGCCAGGTAGTTGGCCGTGCATGTTGCTTCTGCGAATTGCAAGTCACGCAAAGTAACTTGAATGCCATTGCTTTCGGGAATAATGATTTCCCATTTGCAGTGATTTTCTTCGGAACTGTTGGCGGGATACTTGGGTGATGTGATGCTGCCGGAGGGGGTGATAAATGTGCCACCACATTTTGCCGGCAATGAATGATACATAGCCTTGAAATATTTACGATTTCCCGAGGAACCCGAGCGGTAATGTAAATACAGACGATTGGAGGGTGAGGTTATTTGAATGGTCGAGGTTGTGAGAGAACACTGTTGCAGGAGCGTGTGATTGGATGTCTTTGTTTCCTTCACAACGAGAGTATCGCTGGAACAATCTGTGGTGTCTGTGTCCAAAACATATTCCTGTAGCGACAATACAATCTGGGCATTTGGCTCAACTTCTATGTACCAATCGCAGTCCAAATCCAAACTCCTTGGATAATTGGGAGACTTGATGGTATTGAATCTTTGGTTAAACACCTGGCCACAGCCGATACGTGAAAATTCGGCTCGAAAACCATTTTTATTGTTGGAATAGTCACTGACAAAAAGTATCCTCAGGTGATTACCCTCGGTGGTATAGGGTTCAATTGGTGGTGTGCATAGCCGTTGCTTCTTCAGGACATCTGAGTTCTGCATATCCCACAGTTCAATGTAATCTTGTTCACACAATATATTGTCCGATTCGAGGCGAAGATGGGAAAAGGCCAATTGTATCTTATTCTTCGCCCCGCCGCCATGGATATCCCATTTGCAATTCAGTAAATCAGGATATGTTTCCGGGAAATTCGGCGATTCAATAATACCATGGACATGGTCCGTGACCATATTGCAATTTGTCTCATAGTCCAAAATAAATTCAGGTCTGGTGATAAAACTCTCGGCGGTCTTATAAATAATCAGCAACTGATTCGATGACGAGGTTAAGGTTAAATTCCCAGTCTTTTGAATATCAGAGCAATTGAAAGTTATTTGCTTGCTGGAGGGATGTGACCCATCATATATGGTCAAACGTTTGCCATGGCAAAATGCCAAATCTTCTTCCGAGCTAATAAGGCTTAAGGTGATGGAAGAACCTTGGGCCACATGAATTTGCCAGTCGCAGGTATGCTGATGTTGATAGGCCACTGTTGTGATTGGCGCATGTATGGAACCCTTGTAGGATGTCATTTTACCACCACAGCCAGTTTCGGCCTGTTCCCAGGTCAAATGGAAGCCACTTCCCTGGGTGGAGCCATCTGAGATGAAACGTACATGAAGACCATTGCCAAAGGAGGGTATCCGTGAAGGTATTTGATTTCCACAATAACGGCCGATAAGTGGTGAACTATCGCTGACACCATTTCTAGAGGATAAAGAGGATAGAATTTAGAAACATTTACTTGATTATCCGGTTAGAGCACCTCACCTTATTTCCAGAAAATCACCCACACATTCATCTTCCAAAGTAAAGTTTTGAACTTTCAGTTCGATTTTATAGCCCAAGGGCGCCGTTATCACCCAGGTGCAGTTCATATTGTCCGCATAAGCATTTGGCCAATTGGGTGATTTGATGACACCAAACAAAGTTCGGTATTCGCCACCACAAGCTGGAAATGCAACAGATTATTAGGAAATATTTACGCAAATGTGACTTAGAAGTCGAGCCGTTTTAAAATTGATGAAACTGTACCGACAATCTCCTGTTGTAAGCTGTAGTACCCATTACGAACTCCAAATACCAAATTTCCAACATTTCCGGTGAATAGTGTAGCTTAAATCATCAAAATACCGAATATCGGGAGGTACCGTTATGTGGGGGCTATACGAAGACGTGGACCTGCACAGACAATTTTCTGTCACAGGCTGAAGTATCCATTACGAACTTCAAATACCGAATTTGAAACAATTTCGGTGAGTATTGTACCTAAACCCGTCAAAATACCGAATATAGGGAGGTACTGGTATATGGGGCCTATACAAAGACCTGGAGCTACATAGACAATTTTCTGCCACAGATTATAGTTTCCATTACGAACTCTAATAATGAATAATGACGCTAAAATCACCAAAATACCGAATATAGGGAGATACCGCTACGAAGATATACGAAGACGTGGACCTGCACAGACAATTTTCTGTCTTAGGCTGTAATATCCATTGCGAACTTCAAATACCAAATTTGAAAGAATTCTGGTGAATAATGTCGCTAAAATTATAAAAATACCGAAAATCGGGAGGTACTGTTATATGGAGGATATACGAAGACGTGAACCTGCACAGACATTTTTCTGTCACAGGCTGTAGTACCCATTTCGAACTTCAATTATAAAATTTGAAACACTTCCGGTGAATAATGTCGCTTAAATCGCCAAAATACCGAATATCGGGAGGTGCGGTTATATGGGGGCCATATAAAGACGTGAACCTGCACAGACAATTTTCTGTCTTAGGCTGTAGTATCCATCACGAACTTCAAATACCAAATTTGAAATAATTCCGTTGAATTATGTCGCTAAAATCATCAAAATACCGAATATCGGGAGGTACCGAGGAGAGGATATACGAAGACGTGGACCTACATGACACATTTTTAATACTAAAAGTCCTGCAGAGATAACATACATTTGAGTAAAATTTTATCAATCTACCTCAATTCGTTCGGAAGCTAGAGTGATTTCCACAGACGGACAGTCGGATGGACGGACAGACATCGCTAAATCGACATAGAATTTTATGCTGTATATTTATGTATATTTCGAGGTGTTACAAATGGAATGATAAACTTAATATACCCTCCATACTATGGTGCAGGGTATAAAAATATATATCGGAGCCGAGTTCCAAAAAATGGAAACGTACGTCCCGAAATTTACTCCATTTGGGCTGATATTAGCCATTATTTGCACAATAAACCTGAAATCGGATTGAGGATATATATGGGAGCTATATCCAAATCTGATCCAATCTTGATAAAATTTGGAAAAAGTATTTCTGAGCTCTATAAGATATCTGGTACCAAATATCATTGTTGTCGAATGCATATTACGAATATGAGGGACTTAAACAGCAAATCGGATGAAACATATATGGGAGCTATAGCTGTATCTGAATTAATAGACTGAATTCGGTCGGATATTGGACATTTGGTGCACAAAAAAATGAAATTGGGTAAAGAGCTATATTCAAATCTGAACCGACCTTGATAAAAATTGGCAGAGGTATTTCTGGGATATATTTGACATCTGGTACCAAATACCATTGTTGTCGAATGCATATTACGAATATGATGGACTTAAACAGCAAATCGGATGAAACATATATGGGAGCTATAGCTATATCTGAAACGATTTTCACCAAAATTTGGTGTACTTGCTTCTAGACTGAATTCGGTGTCAAAATTCAGTTAATTCGGACCGATATTGGACATTTGGCGTACATTTAACCCGAAATCGGTTGAAGATATATATGGGAGGTATATCCAAATCTGAACCGATCTTGATAAAATTTTGCAGAGGTATTTCTGGGATATATCTGACTTTTGGTACCAAATATCATTGTTGTGGAGGAAATATTACGCATGTGAGGGACTTAAAACCCTAAATCGGATGAAATATATATATGGGAGCTATAGCTATATCTGAACCGATTTTCTCCAAATTTGATGTACTTGTTTCAAGACTGAATTCGGTCAGATCTACCAAAATTCTGGTCATTAGGACTTATATTGACAATTTGGGGCACAATTAACCTGAAATCGGTTGAAGATATATATGGGAGCTATATCTAAATCTGATCCGATTATCACCAATTTCAATAGGGTTCATCCTTGTGCCAAACAAATATTGTTGCCAAATTTCATCTCAATCGGATAATAAATGCGACCTGCAAAATAAAAAATACATGACGGACTGACATGCATAAATCGACTCAGAAAGTGATTCTATGAATATCCTCAGAAGTAACCATGGGTCTATCTCGCTTCCTTCTCCCTGTTACAAACAAATGCACGAAGACATAATACCCTTATAGCTATGTGGTGTAGGGTATAATAACTACGATAAACGATCATATCGCAAAAAATTTAAAAAGTAGTAAATTTTTGGAGAACACCATTATACCCTCAGCCATATGGTTACAAAAGAGATTAACTAACTTAATAGATATAAAACTGACCCGACTCTACCTTAAGCATCATATCAATGATATGTTTGTATTTTTGATGCCAACTTACCGGTTTCCGGTGCTATAAAACGATACATTACACCATAAACATAGCAATGTTTGCCAATTTCCAATGTGACCAGATTGTGGGGCAGTAGCTCTCTAAATGTTTGCGTACCATTCAAACTATAAATAAATAAAAAAATGTTATCTTCGTTTACAAGACCGATTTCAAAATTCAGCTCCCCTCACTTACTTTTTCAGTAAATAATTTGAATTACCAGCCACATTGGCATACAACCTGGCACTGAAATCATCTGCAATGTCGCTTTGTGATCTGAGAACACGGAAACCCAATAAAATATTCATTCCGACAGGGGCTTCAAAAATCAGTTCACAGCGATTTTCATTCGTTGCAATAAAATCGCTGCTGAGACTTGATTCTCCTGTGTAAATACCACCGCAAGAGATTTCCTCAAACGAATATTCCAAACGAAAACCTCGAGCTTTAGTGGGATTTTCGGTAGCATGAAATACAATTGTCATTTTGTTTAATTTCGAAATGAGTTCCATGGGTGAGGATTTGTAGTAACGTTGTTTGTTGGTGTTCGATAAGTGTACCTGAAATGGGGTAGCGAGGGGGTGAATGATTAACTTGGGTATTCATGTAAAATCGTACACAACCGAGGAATAAGTGGTCGAAAACAAAAGACTTCGAATCGAAAAATCGAATTTTTGACTGTTCTTTCGATTATAATTCACTAAAAAGGGAGTCCTTAAATGTTTTTTTTTAATCCGCGATGAAGATGAGAAGACCACCAGAAGGTCTTCTATCTATAGAAGACTGCCAGAAAGTCTTCTGTCTATCGAAGATCGCCAGGAGGTCTTCTGACTATAGAAGATCGCAAAATGGTCTTCTATCTATAGAAGACCGCCAAGAGTTCTACTGTCTACAGAAGATCGGCATAAAATCTCCTGTCTATAGAAAAACGCCAGAAGGGTTCTGTCTATAGAAAACCGCCAGGAAGTTTTCTGTCTATAAAAGATCGTCAAGGGGTCTTCAGTCCATAGAAGCCCATCAGGAGGTCTTCTATCTATAGAAGATCACCAAGAAGTCTTCTGTCCACAGAAGACCGCTAGGGGATCTTCTGTCCATAGAAGATCGCTTGGAGGTCTTCTGTCTATAGAAGACCTAAAGGAGGTCTTCTGTCTATAGAAGACCTCCAGGAGGTCTTCTGTCTATAGAAGACCTCCAGGAGGTCTTCTGTCTATAGAAGACCGCCAGGAGGTCTTCTGTTTATAGAAGACCGCCTCTAGAGGTGACCACCTGGAGATCTTCTCTCTATAGGAGACCACCAGAAGATGTTCTGTTTATAAAAGATCAGCAGGAGGTCATCTGTCTAAAGAAGACCGCCAGGAGGTCTTCTGTCCATAGAAGACCGCCAGGAGGTCTTCTATCTATAGAAGACCGCCAGGAGGTCTTCTATCTATAGAAGACCGCCAGGAGGTCTTCTATCTGTAGAAGACCGCCAGGAGGTCTTCTATCTGTAGAAGACCGCCGAGATTTTCTGTCTATAGAATACCACCAGGCGGCCTTCTGCCAGGAGATGTACTATCTATCCTACCTTCTAATATCCATCCCTCCAGAAATCGAACCTACAATAGTTAACTTGCATTACCTCCAAATATGTCTGACGTTCCTCGCCAATATCTGTTTCATTGCCCCGACTTGTTGGATCTTCTTCGTCATCCAAAGAAACACTCTGCTTATTGCCAGCCAAGGAAATATCAGTGAAATTTGCACGAACCACTGTCTTAACTGGCCCATAGATGTGATAGGTACAGGTCAAATATTCGGTATGGGCATTGGGATAGTTGGGTGAGGTTATTACTCCCGAGTCGGGACCAAAGTAGCTAAATTCGCATACTGAAAAAAATTTAAAAATTGATGCAATTTAAAAGAGAGGTCTGAGCAAGTTTTTAATTACCTCTTGAATATTTTATTTTGAATAAAGTTTTGGAACTGCCCCAGTCGATTATATTCTTGAATCGAATAAGAACAAAATTTGATGATGAGGTTATTGTCTCCACGGTCCTGGTATTGCAGATAAATTTAAGACGGGGATCTTCATCGGTTTTGCCATCAAAAATCTGGAAATAATTTATATTCTCTCTCTCTCTCTCTTTATCTCTCTTTCTCTCTCACTTACCTCAATACTATTTAAATTACAATTCTCCTCCTCGGATAGATTCATTTCCACGAAGTCCAATTCAATTTGTATACCCGATGTTTGTTGTATCAGATATAGACATATGGCCGGTTCATTGGGCGCCACAATAACACCAGAGGCTTCGGTAAAAACACCACCGCAATGGGGTATTGATGATTCCACTTCATAGTGCAATTGAAAGGAGCTGTCCGACTTAAAGGCATCGGTGTGGAAATGTATGACTAGTTTATTGGAAGTTGATTTCAATGGTTCCGGTGAGGTGGTCTCGCAATATTCCTTGAGCAGCAAATCGCCATCGTAGATCTAAAAAAATAAGCATAATCAGTACCCTAGCCAAAAGCCAAAAATATATCCCTAATAAGTAAAAGGACCCATAGGCCTCCAATTTGTTTATATTATGTACCTACCTTCAACGAATCACCCTGACAATTGACACGATTCCCTGTCGTGATCTCATAAATCCTCAAAGCAAAACGTGAACCATAGGGCGCCATCAACTCCCATTGACAATCTCTTTGGATTGGAGTTTTACCCGGATATCCTGGCGAACGAATTATGCCCTCATCTCCCATCTTCAGCTCCAGCGTATCTCCACATATATGAGGCTGTGAATGCCACGTCATATGGAAACCAGATCTCTGTGTGACATTATCACTGCGGAACCAAAAGAACAATTCATGTTGTGAGGATAAAATATTACCACCCAATGGTAGTTCCTTGCCACAGAAGCGACCCAATAGCTGAGCGGCCAATGAATTGCCATCATGGATTTGCAACCAATCACGGCTGCACTCAGGGTCCTCCTCCACATCGAAAGATGTAAAGGTGAGATTAATAATTTTCGTACGTTCTGTGCGTATGATCCAGACACATCTTTCATGGGCCGCATATTCGGTTACATTTTCCGTCGGGTAGGTTATCTCTCCAGGCGATTGGCGTTGCAGTGTGGAACAGACACTGCGTACAATTTCGCAATGTTTGCCAGTGGTGCCACGTTTACAGGCACATTTATATGCCTTATTGGCCAGGGGCTTACAGACGGCATCGTTTTTACAAGGATTCGGATGGCAGCCATCGACAGTTTCACACAGGCTGCCGGAATAGCCCTCGGGACATAAACAACTTGTACCACGACCAGTGGTCAAACAGGTTCCATTATTCTGTAAAAGGGAAATTGATTAATTTTGTATTTAAGGACATTTTCCAAAACATACCTGACACAAATGATTTTCACAAGAATTCTCAATGGGTGTGGTGTGACATCCCTGCGGCCCAAATCCATGACCGAACATTCCATGGGGACATGTACATGTGGCCACATTGGAAATATATTCACATTTTGCCTGGGGATGACAAATATGTTCCTCATCACAGGAGTTCGAGGGAGCCAGATCACAGGAGTGACCATCACCAATCCAGCCCACAGGACATTTGCCACAGTGATAGGATCCCTTAAGAAAGAAAGATAAATTGGACAAATTTAAAATTTTTTGATATAAAGAGATGGAAATTTTTCATATCATATTTTTATCATATATCGCATTTTTTTAAATACGATTTGGTTCTGTAAATCTTTCAAAAATTCCTTAAATATCCACGAATTTTTTTCAAGAAGTTCGTGAAAAACATATGTTAAAAAATTCAAAATTCTTTTTGTCAGGAAGTCTTTGAATATAATTTTTAAATATCCACGATTTTTTGCAGAAAGTCCTTGAAAAATATATTTTAAAAAATCCACGATCCTTTGTCATAAAGTCCTTGAAAAATATTTATAAAAATCCACGGTGTTTTTGTGAAGAAGTCATTGGAAGCCCTTTTTAAAAATCCAACGTTTTTTGTAAGGATGTCCTTCCAAAATTATTTTTAAAGATTCACAATTTTTTGTAAGGAATTCCTTGAAAAATTTTTTTAAAATTCAACAATCTCAGGAAGTCCTTGAGTTCCACAATTCAAAAACTCCTTAAAAATCCACGATTTTTTGCTAGAAAGTCATTGAAAAATATTTCTTAAAAACCATAAATTTCGGCCAGAAAGTCTTTGGAAAATATTTATAAAAATCTACGATTTTTGTGAAAAAGTACTTGAAAACCTTTTTTTGTAATCCACAATTTTTTGTCAGGATGTCCTTGAAAAATATTTTTTAAAAATTTATTTTAAATCCACGTTGTTTTGCAGGAAGTCCTTGAAAAATATATTTTTAAAAATCCACAATTCTTTGTCGTGAAGTCCTTGAAAAAATATGTATAAAAATAAACGATTTTTTTGTTCAGAAATACATGAAAAATATTTTTAAAACTCCACAATTTTTTCTCGGGAAATCCTTAAAAATATTTTTAAAACTCCACGATTTTTTCTCAGGAAGTCCTTAAAAAATATTTTTAAAACTCCACGATTTTTTCTCGGGAAATCCCTAAAAATATTTTTAAAACTCTACGATTTTTTCTCAGGAAGTCCTTAAAAAATATTTTTAAAACTCCACGATTTTTTCTCAGGAAGTCCTTGAAAATAATTTTTAAATATCTACCATTGTTTTGTCAATATTTCCTTGAAAAATATTTCTATAAATCCCCATTTTTTAAGAAGTCCTTAAAAAAATCATATTTTTAAAATTTCACGATTTTTGGAAGTCCTTGAAAAAATTAATTTTTTAAAATTTCACGATTTTTGGCAGGAAGTCCTTGAAAAAATGACATTTTTAAAATTTCACGATTTTTGGCAGGAAGTCTTTGAAAAAATTAAATTTTTAAAAATCCACGACTTTTGCCACGATGTCCTTAATAAATATTTTTAAAATTTCAAGATTTTTGGCAGGAAGTTCTTAAAAAAATTAAATTTTTAAAAATCCACGATTTTTGCCACGATGTCCTTAAGAAATTTTTTAAAATTTCACGAATTTTGGAAGGAAGTCCTTGAAAAAATTAAATTTTAAAAAATCCTCGATTTTTCCAGCATGTCTTTTAAAAAGTATTTTTAAAGATCCACGATTTTCGTATTTTTAAAAATCCACGATTTTTTGTCAGAAAGTCCTTGAAAAATATTTTTAAAAAATTCACGACTATTTTTTGTCAGGAAGTCCGTGAAAATAATTTTTAAAGATTCACGATTGTTTTTGTTGATGTCCTTGAAAATCCACGATTTTTCCCAGGAGTTCTTGACTTTTTAAAAATGTATGGTGGCTAGGGGATCCCTCACAAATGTTCTTAAAACTGTAAGATTTCGGCCAGAAAGTCCTTGAAAATTGTTTTTATAAAGTTCACGATTGTTCATTTGGAGGTCCTAAGATTTTTTTAAATAACTATCATTTTTTGAGTTTTTATCTTAGAAAATTAGTAAAAAAGCTAACAAGTTCAGAACAAGTTACAGAAAAATGTTTTGAAAAATACATGGTCTATTTGCCGAAAAAAAATTAAAAAAATATGTGAAAAAATACGATTTCTTGGGAGGAAGTTTTAGAAAAATATATATTTTTATTCCCTTTTTCTATGCTACGCAGTCTTAGAAAAATCTGCGATCTTTGCACAGGAAATCCTGAAGAAAAACTTGGAATTTTTACGATTTTGATCGGAATGGTTATGGATTTTTTCCGCTTTCTAGCTAAAATCTGATTTTCATATTCGACTGCCATATATGGTGTATTCGTCTCGCTCTACATAAGATATTGATGTTGAATTTCATGGAAATTTTTAGAGGGTGTTGACTGTTTCTGATAAATGTTAAGACTTACTTTTATTTTTCTCTAATAAATCCTCCTCCCACAATTCCCAACACTCCAACTCACCTCAGTATTAATACATCGTACTTTGGGTTGCAGACTACAACCACCATTGTTGGTGACACACTCATCGATGTCATAGCATGTTGCTCCATTCCCCGTATAGCCCGGCGGGCATGGTCCACATTTAAAACTTCCGGGTAAATTGATACATTCACTATGGCAGGGATTTCGTGATTCTTCACATTCGTTGACATCCACATCACACACTGGCGAAATACTGGAGTTGGTCGCCACCAAAGGATCTTTTGTCCAACCCTGATCACAGAGACAGGTATAGCCTTTTTCATTATTTGCCGGTACACAAACACCATGGCCACACAGTTCCTGGGATTGCTCTTGATGACAAATGGAGTTTCTTAGGCGGCAGTGGGTGCCAGAGAATCCCTTGGCACAGGTGCATCTATAATGTGATAATTGGATAAATAAAAGTGATTTTATGGGATTTTTAAAATTATGGAGAGGATTTAAAGAGTTGATTTATGTATGTCTTATTATTTGGCATCATTCTTACATACAGCTGTAGGCCGTCACAAGCTCTACTGTTGTGTTTCCTCTACTTATAGATTTATTCAAAAAACTTACTTGTAGCTACCCGGCGTATTCTGACACACAGCATTGTTTTGACATCCCAAATCTGTGCCAGCCAAGAGATAACACTCGTCAACATCTTGTTCACATGTCTTCCCCTAAAATAATGTCAAAAAATTTTGTAGATTAGAAAATGGATAGTTAACGCCCCTTAAAATTAATCACTAATTGTTACTTCACGCATGGCACAATAAATTTCGAAATATTTCATAATTTGTCAACAAAAAAATGCTTATTTTATTAAATCAATATATTTTAAATAGCCAATTAAGAATGATCATAATGCATCTGCATGGCTGGATAAGCATTTAAAATAACCTAAAATGTTAGGAAAAAATGTGCAATACAAAAAATAATAATTACAGGAAAAATTAAGCAGATTATGCAAGTAGAGCTAAAAATAGAAGACGCGTATATAGGCACTTTGAAAGCTCCCATTGCAAAGTATCTTAAACAAAGGGGCCAGCACCCCTCCCCTAAACAACATTTTTTTTAAATAGTATTTTTGTCGAAAAATTTAATCGAGTCTTCAAAGTGGTATTTTTTGCCTTATTCACAATATGGTTAAAAGCTCCCTATAAACGGTGTCGTAGCAAGTCAAATTATTCTACAAAATTATTTGTCATACAATTCTACTACAGGTCATGGGAAACATCAAAACCCTAAATCTTACCTAAACGCCAGGAGTTCGTAAAAATTAAAACCACACTTCGAAGTTAAGGAAGTTATTTGAGTTTATTCTAAAATCTCCTTCAAAGCATAGTTTTAGAGGAATGACATCAAAGACAAAAATATTGCTCGTCAAATTTCACTTGAAGTCACCAAAAAAAAAAAGAAATCTTTATTTCCACTGGATATCAAAAATTTAAAATTAGTCCTTGGAAATATATTAAATCCACCATTAATCCTTGAAAAACGGTTTTTAAACCATAATTAGTCTTTGGATAATATATACTTTGAATATATTCAGGATTAGTCCTTACTGAAATAATTCAGGATTACTTTTTTCCAAGATTACTTCTTTGAAGAATTAGTTATTGTAAATCCACACCTAGTCCTTAAAAATATTTTTGTTTTAATTCCACAATTTTGTCCATGAAAAAAACATTATTTTGAATGCTTATAACAATCACGAATAGTCCTAGAAAAAAATCGACAATAGAAAAGTTCTTGATAACATTCCTTGAATCATAGAATAATTCAAAATTAGCTTTTAAAAAAGTTTTTTTTTAAGAAATTCACAATTATTTCGTTGAAAAATTAGTTATTTAAAATCGTCGCCAAGTCCTTGTAAAAATATTTTTGCATCAATTCCACGATTTGTCCTAGAAATAAATATTATTATAAAAGACACGAATAGTCTTTAGAAAATCTTAATGAAAATTCACAATAGTTTTTAAGTCCTTGTTTTTTTTTTTGTTAATCTACGATTATTTCCTAAAACATTTTTTTTGGTTCTAGAAAAATATTTTTCAAAAAATCTGCAATTTGTCCTTGAAAACTATAAATATTATTTGAAATGTTCACGACTGTTCTTTGAAGAGATTTAAAAAATCCATGAGTGAAAAAAATATCTGAAAATTCAAGATAGACCTTAAAAACGTATTTTCAAAAAATACATGAAAAAAAAAAAACGAAAATATCTATTTCAAATTCACTATTAAAAATCCGCCATTAAAATCGCCCTTAATATAATATTTTTAAACAACACAAATTAGTCCTAAGAATATTTTTAAGAATCCAAGATAAAAAGAATCCACGTTTATTTAAAAAAATGTTTATGTAATTGTACGATTTGTCCTTAAAAACATTATTATTTTAAACGCTATAAACAACCGTTTTACGGTTAGTCCTTGAATAGATATTTTTAAAAAGTTCGCTCTTAATGAGAAAGTTCTAAAAACTAACGAAGGCCTTTAATTCCTTGTTTAAATCCACTGTTAATCCTTGGAAAACATTTGTTTTATGGTTAGTACTAATTTTTTTTGTTATTCAAAATTAGTCCTTGAATGAAAATGTTCCTTAAATCCTCGATTTATGGTTAATTTTTTTTAATCCATGATTATTCCTTAAAATATTTTTTAAATCTGTGTTCCCTTAAATTTGTTTTTTTTAATTTTCACAACTAGTTTTTGAAGAAACTTAAAAATCCACGAGCGTTGAAACAATTCTCTAGAATTATTACCTTTTAAAATATATTCAAAATATCCAAGATAAAACCGATTTATTTTTTGTTAATCTACGATTTTCCTTAAAAACAATTTTTTTGGTCCTAGAAAAATATTTTTAAAAAATCCGAATAAATCTTCGTGTATATAAACAATTCTTTTATAAAAACAACAATTAGTCCTTGAAAAAATATTTTTTGAAAACTTCACGACGTGGAGAAACTTAAAAATCCACGAGGGATGAAAAAAATCTCTAAAAATTCAAGATAGACCATACAATTTTTTTTCATAAAATCCACTTAACATATTCTTTGATTAATCTTCGATTAGCCCTTAAAATACTTTTTTTTCAAACCTTGAAAAATATTAAAAAAAATCGACAGCCCTTCAACTAGTTACGATATTTTTTTTTTAATAATCTCAAACATTTTTGATAAAATGTTTATAAAATCTTCTTAAGAATCCACGTATCACCAAAAAAAAAATTTTTTTTCAAAAAATTTACGATTTTCTCTTTAAAAAAATAAATAAAGCCTCCTCCAAAAAAAAAAAAAAAAAAAAAACATATTTTTAAAAATCCGCGTTTCGAATCCTTAGAAAATTATCTAAAAAACGAAAATTATAATTTCAAAAAATCTTAAAATGTCCTGGAATAAATGTGTTATTTTGCAATAAGAAACTGTTAGCCGATGAAAATCAATTTATAGCATTATAGTCATTTTAAATATATTAAAAAATATCATAGTTAGCAGTTTAATAAATTATCTCTAACATCCAACAATTAGGCACCTAAAAGTGATAATAAACATTCTTTAAAAATTCCACAGTTATATATATTTTTGGAAATCCTGATTGTAGTCTCTTTGATCATCAAAAAATAACTTTTAAAATTTATTCACAATATTTACCGTCCATCCTTCGGCACATTCACAATGGTAACCCTTGTACAAATCATAACAAGTTCCACCATTTTTACACGGCTCCGTCGTTTCGGCACATTCATCCTTGTCAACGTTTTCCTCCAAATTGGCAAGGCGTCCATTTAAACGACGCAAACGTCCCAATTCGCGTCGCAGCTGCCGAGGTCCCACCGTATTTCGGGTGCGATTTTGTAACATTGAAAATCGCCGTGTAAGTCGCTGAATATCATTACGAATCGAATGAATCTCCTCGCCGGCATTTTCAATGGTTGGAATTTCGATTGGTTTCACATCGCCATCTAGAGTTGCGGGAGTAAAACGCTCTCGTATTGTATCCATGAGATCGATGTTGTTGAGTAGGAGTTTTGCATCATGCGTTAAGCGAAGACTTAGATTGCGATCGGTGGCTGCTTGGAGTATTAAATTGCCGTGTTGGGAGATAATTTTCGGTTGATTGTCATAGTCCGATGCGGCGGCAGCAGAGATGAGATTAACTTTCCACAACAACAGCAAGGCACAGTAGTGAGTTAAAAACTTCATTTTGTAAGTCCTTAGTTAGGGATTATAAGTAAAGGACCTGTTTCCTTAAAATTTTAAATGACTAGCATTTTGTTTTGGTTTAAAATTTAAACACTTTTCAGCAAATACTCCAATAATGTAATAATTTATTATGTTTGATTTAAACTGAAATGCGGCTTAGTCCTTTACGCTTTCCTAATTTGAATTTTCAATACATTTCTCACACTTTTTGGATATTTTATTTGGATATTTTTTTTTAATCCTTTGGGCTATAAAAATCACAGTTGACACTTTGAAAGGATTTGAGTATTTTTTTATTAAAATTATTTTCTTTATCGTGTTATCCTTTGTAATCCTTAAAATATCCTTCGTAAAAATTCCAAATTTCTTTCGATTGTCTTCCGAACCGTTTGTTTCGAGCATCTAACGCGAACTATTTTCAATTCATTAGAAATGACTTGTATTTATAAAAAAGTGGGCGTCTATTCTGCTGCTGCTGATAGAAATCTAATTGTTTTCGCCCTTGCTTCTGACTAAGTAAGCAGAATCATCTGGGATTTGATTATTTGATTTACTCTAGGGATTCGGATTTTTTTGTGGTAATTTTTTTGGTATTGTATTTGTGTAAAGTACATGTGTGCAACGGAAAGTACATTGGTGGGTGTGTTCATGTCATGCAAATGACCTAATATTTGAAAAACGTCATATCTTAGAAAAATGAAAAAAAAAAAAAAAAAAACATTTGATATTTGTTTCGATTTGAATATTTAATGACCTATGTAGACTGCATTGAAAATTAGAATCTAGCGAAGTACCACGCATCAACCAGTATGGTTTTGCAAATAATGTTTTCAGATATTAATTAACTGCAATTATCCCGAAAAAAATAAAAAAAATTAAAGCTGATGAAATTCACGATACTTTGCTCATTACCTCATACCACCTCTTTAGAAGGGTTTTCAATGATGAAAATTCAATGCCTTACAGGTTCCCTATGAAAACACATCGTGAAGGACAATTTTTTACCCTCCACCATAGTATGGAGGGTATATTAAGTTTGTCATTCCATTTGTAACACCTCGAAATATACATTTTAGACCACACAAAGTATATATATTCTTGATCAGCAGAAAAGTCTAAGTCGATATAACGATATCCGTCCTTATGTCTGTCTGTCCTTCTGGGGAAATCGCACCAGCTTCCATACGGATTGAAGTAGGTTGATAAAATTGTATTCAAATGTCTGCAGGACTTTTGGTGTTGACAATGGTCTATATAGGTCAACGTTTAGGTATATCACCCATATAACGGTACCTTCATATATGAGGAATTTTGATGCTTTTTGCGACACTATTCACCGGAATTGTTTCAAGTTTCGTATTGAAACATATTAACACGGTCTATTACAAAAATTACCTGTGCAGGTCCACGTCTTCCTATAGACCCCTATATAACGGCAACTTCGGTATTTTTAAGATTTTAACAGCATTTTTACGGATTTTTTTTATATTTCCATGGAGTTTTTCAAGATTTTTCAGACGCGAGCATTTCTGTTCTTGAGAATGATTTCGATTTTTATTGGCTTCAAAGAGTATTCTATAACAAAAAAAAAAAAAAAAAAAAAAAATTGGAAACACATTTAAAGGTGTTTCCTCCTGAAAGTATATTTTTAAGTTTTAAGTTCAAGTTCTCTCAGACTCATATTTTTTCATGGAAATTATAGATATATATTTTTTATGGACTACCAGGCTCTTTGAGTTTTACAATATTTTTTCAAAGCCTTTCAGAACCGTGTTTTTTTTTTTCTTTCTGAAAATAATGCTGTTTTCATGGACTATACGTTTCGGTTCATCCCAATATTTCTATGTGAAAATGTGAAAATCGGACAAGTCCCTCCAGTATCTCCGTCACAAGGGATAAAAATTTTGAATAACTGAAACTCTCAAAAACGCGAAATAAGCTTCCGATTCTCTTCAAATTTCACACAACCCAATAATTGTACTAACCCATGATATGGCGTGAAGATGATAGATATCGACCCAACATTTTTGCAACTCCACAAAGGGTCACAATTTACATATACAGGGTGAGATGAAAAAACTGCAATCAAATTCATTTCGAAGCCTCTCGTCGACAGCTGTTAAATTATTCCAGTGACAGCTCATTATATTGTTTACAAGCGCACAAAAGCATTTTGGTGAGAATTTTCCAGAAAAAAAGTTATTCCTAATGGAATTCAAGCGTGATAGTGTGATTTCTTTATATTTGGTTGGAAAACCACAAGTGGCTATCGTTAAAGCACTCTAGCATTTAAATGTGAATAAATCTTTTGTGTCTCGTTCAGCTGATGGTAGCTTTTCGCTCGTATTAATCGACCGTGGCATCAGAATAAATACCGAATGTTATTGTATTAATGCCTTGTACACGCAAACATTTTGGCCGCAGACCTTGGACATTCCAACGGGACTCAGCACCGTAGCACAAAGCACGCGCCACCCAAGAATGGTGACAAAATGAGGTTCCTTGCTTCATTTCCAGCGCACAATGGCCACAAAAATCTCCGGATACCAATCCGTTGGACTATTGTGTCTGGAGTATTTTGGAAAGTAAGTAAGCCAAAGTGTCGATCACTTCAAGCAAGCGTTTCGCCGGGAATGGGTCAAAATATCGCAGAGCAACCTTTGGGCAGAGGGTGACGGTTTCATTGGCCGTTTTTAAGGCATTAATTTGTACCAAAAGTGACCGATTCGGACATATCTAAACTTATTCTAAAATTTAAAATCTATTTCTGGCATTTTTTGCTTTCATTCAATAAAATTAAAAAAAAAAAATGTAAAAATTATGGCATTTGACTTTGTTGCAGTTTTTTTATCTCATCCTTTATATTTCTCCTAACTTGTGAAACAAGTTCGAGACTCTTTTCAAGCTTGGTATATATAAATATTTCTCTCATTTGCACAAATCCCATACTATATAGGGTACTTCAAGCACATTTCTACATTTTCAAAAAATGATCGAATATCTCATATAAAGTGAATACATTTAAATAAATGGTCATTAGATGAGGGTTTACATCTGTTGGCAAAACTTTTTTCATACTTTTTAAATTCAACAAAAAAGTCAAAGGTTATCAAACTTTTTAAAATATTTTTGACAATGTTTTTGATGCCTTTTTTCAATATTTTTGCAAGAGTACGAGTTTTTGGAAAATGTTCCCCTGAAAAAATGTATATATTTTCAATATCAATCTTGTGATTAAAAAAAAAATTAATTTAAAGACATTTTAAAATTGTTGCAAGGTCTAGTAGACATTTTCAAAAATATTTTTTCTATCGGACTCGTGGATTCTTTTAATGTATTGTCCTTAGGCATTTTTTTTATTTATAACAAGTCAAAATTATAATTGCAAATTAAAACTTTGAAAATACGAGTTGGTGAAGAATCTTTTTTCATCGGATGTACATGAACAGCGTGTTTTCGCTACCAGGACAAAATATCCCAAATGGTAGTGGAGTCATAAGTTTTTGGTATATAACCCAAAAGCATAGTCTGTTGAAACCTTAGTACAGTGTAGGCTGGGTGAAGCTTAAGTTTTCTCTAAGTTTTCAATATCTTTTTCCTAGTATTCTCTATGTGGCAAAAAAAAACTGTCTGTGAGTGTCGGTAATCTTCCCTGAGTCATGGCCCACCAGAATCCATAGTTTGCTCTTCCTTATAGTAAAAGCCCGCCCGAATACATTAACAAATAACTGAAGTCTCTGGAATTGCTTTTGGGAATATTTTGATTTTATCGTTTGTTTTTTTTGTTTTATTAAATAACTAACATGGGTTATTTCTTTCTTTCGGTATGTTTCTTCTTAAATTTAATACAATACATGACATAATAAATTATTAATTACGTTTGTGTTTACTTTTACTTATAAATGCTATAACAATTTCACAGTGACAATAAATAATTTAAAATTACACAATTTTCTCATTTTTTACAATACAATTTACAGGGGTTTAAAATAAAACCAAATTTTGAAATTAAATAGGAGATTGAAAAAAGAAAAAAATTAAAATCATGAACGACAGCTTTTTTGGTTTATTTTAATCACATTTTCAATTTTCTTTATCCGTTTTGTTTCATTTAATGGGTGGTGTGGAGAGAAATGGCAAGACCATTTTTTTTGCGTTTTGTTCCACTACTTCCTTTTTGTCGGGGGAGGACTTTAAAAACTAGCATTTGCAAAATTTTGGTTTTCCGGTTTTTTATTTGCTTACGTTTGTTTCCGCTTCCGTTTCCGTTGGCATGTGCTTTATTATTACGTTCCATAAAGTATTTGTTGTTATGTTTCATGTTTTGTTTTTACTGGCTAATAAATTCGTACAATTTTTGGTTTTGTTTTGGTTTTTCTCTTTTTTTTTGTTGTAAATTTAAAAATTTAAAAACTTAAGAATCTCCTTGAAAATATGAATTCTGCATCAGATATAATTTGTCAATTGGATTTATGAGGTTATTATTCAAATTGGCTAAAATATCTTGGGGATTGGAATTGTGATGATGGCCCGAGGAGCTGGTCGATTGCAGTTCCAAATTGTTAAGTGACAAGGAGTCGGCATCATCATCCAAATGATCAAAATTACTGCCATCCAGGGAGAGATCCGAACTGCAAAAGCTGTCATTTGAGTTGGCGGGATAATCTAAAACAATAACAAATAATCGATTAGTCATTTTTTCAATTTTGTTGGGTTTTCTAAACTTACCATCTGGTGAAAACGGTAGATTTGGATTCAAGGGCTGTGTGGCATATGAGTTATCCATGCCCAAGTAGCCATTTTCACTACCCGAACCGGAACCCATTTCTTGCTTAATGCCATCCTTGTCCTTGCCTTCCTTGTCCTTATCGTCCGTCTGACGATTGCTACCATTTTTAGCCTTCCTTTGGATTTTCTTCATTTTGGCTCTTTGATTTTGAAACCACACCTGCACCACTCGCACCGACAGACCCGTATCCTTGGCCAAAGCTTCACGCACCTTACGACATGGTTTGGGTGATTGTTCAAACGAGGCCTTGAACTGTTTACGCTGGGCCGATGTTAAGATGGTGCGTGGTCGTTTGGGACCCCTCCGACCATCTCGTGGCCGCATTAAGTCATCATCATCCAAACCCAAATAGCCACAATGTTGGGCTGCCGCGGCCAAAAACATTTCCTTTTCCAAATCATGACGAAAGCATAAAATTTGCCCATCTCGCAGCATAAATTGTTCACCTTTTTGCAGGGGGATGCGGCAGGCGAAGCACACGAAACACGACAAATGAAAAATCAAATTCGGCAGGGGTCTCATGACCATGTCTTGTGGTAAAATCGGATGGCAACATGCAGCACATTTGAAGGCGAATAATCTGAAAAGATATTAAGGGAATTTATTAAATTTTATTTTCAATTTTTTTTCTGGGGAAGTAGTTTCGGATACTCACCTATCATAATCCATTTTACAGTACATTTTGCCATTGCGCACATAACAGGTCTGGTGCAGCTGCAGACCACAGTAACAGCAGGACAGGCAACTCTCATGCCAATTTGTATCGCCCACATTCATTAGATATCGGTCGTGTATCTTTAGGCCACATCCTTCGCAAACTTCGAAATTCTTTTCACATTTGATTTGATCAACTTCTGTAAGACGAAAGAATGCAATTTGTTTAGTAAATTGTATGGAATTTTGAGTTTCAATGATTTTATGAAAATTATTTTTTTTAAATAATTAAAGGTTTTCTACATATAGATAACTTTCAAGGGGATATTTTTTGGGCATGCAACCTTTGAAAGATCTTCTATAGATAGAGGTCATCGATAAATAAAAGAACCTTTGTCTTTTATAAAGAAAACTTTGAGAGGACTTTTACAAATAGCTAAGAGATATTCTAAAAAGAGAAAGAGAACTTGTAAGAGATTTTCTTTTGATAGAGACATATATGAAGGGCTCACAGCTATACCGAACTAAGTCATAAAAACATAATTCGAAGATATTTAGAGGTAAAGTAAATGCACTGCAATTAATTTCTGGAAGGAATATTTCAGTCTACTAAAAGAAAATGTAAAAGTCTATATTCAAAATTAACTAATGATATAAATTTAAAAACAAAAATAATAAAATATATTACTAAAAATATATTCAAAAACAAAAAAATTTACTTTGGTTCATTATTACTCTGATTAAAATTTGAATGTTTCACAGTTAAAGCGAACCAAGTCAAAAAAATATAATAAAGTGTTCGCTATATGACTAAATATAGTTGATGTTCCGCTTGTAATAAGCAACTGATGTTGATAGCTTTGGAATGCTTTTTGAAGGTCGAAAGTACAGATATAGTGTTCATCAGATGGTACTTCTGAATTCAGTGAGTCTCGAGCTAGCTGTGCTGCTTTTAAATGAAGTTCCTGTTGCCAAATTAAATTTGTATTTTCATCTTCATGGAAATTTATTTTCATGTCAAGTTCATCACAAACTCGACAAGTATCCTTATTCGGATAAAATTTCGTGCTGAACTTTATAATAAAAAAAAAACATTTTGTTTTGCGTAATTTGCAAGTTTCCAAAATGACTCGAAAAATAATTCTCTGTTAGATTCATTCACCTGGTTGTTACATTTTATTCTGCATCCACAATCATAATTAGGTATAAATGTTTTTGCGGAAGTTGTAAGACACTTCTGATTTGTGTATGCTTTTCCACTGTTGCAGCGAAGCTAACGCACATTGTGCTTCCACTTTTCCGGGATTATTCATCTTTATTCATCTTTTACTTTTAAAAATTATAAAAATACCGAATAAAGGGAGTTACCGTAATATGGGGGTCTATACGAAAATTTGGACCTGCACAGGCAAGTTTTGTCATAGTTCATCACAATATTTAAATGGGAAACTGGAAAATATCCGGTAAATAATATCGCAAAAACATCAAAATTCTTATTACGAAATACGAAAGTCATCAAAATACCGATAATTTTCAATACCAAACGCCCTGTACACCAAACACACATCTGAGTAAAATTTTATCAACCTACTTCAGTTGGCTCGGAATCTAGAGTGATTTCCACATATTGACGGACATCGCAAAACCGACATTGAATTTTATGCTGATCAAGAATATATATACTTTGTAGAGTCTAAAATATATATTTCGTGGTGCTACACACGGAATGACCAACTTAATATGCCCTCCATACTATACCCTCCACGTACTATGGCTGAGGGTATACATCTGTCGGCAAAACTGACTGATACTTTTTAACTTGTTTTGTTTTTTATATTGCTGAAAACTGAAGGGCAATATACACTTGCTCACTAATAGAACTGATTTAAAGTGAAACACACTGATTTGGTTCATTTTTGCTTTGAATAAAAACAAAAAGGACAGTCGTTGACTTAGGTTTTTTACCGTTATCTTTGGAACGAAACACTTTTTGACATTATGCTTTGCAGTGTAAATAGAGTTGCCACATGCGGGGACATTGGCACTAGTTTCGGCATTTTATATTTTTCATGACTTGGTTCGGTATAGCAGTGAGCCCTCCATATGTGCATTACTGCCCAACAGCGAACTTTAGCAGCACTGGTTATACGCGTATTCCCTTTTCTCTCTTTTCGTCAGAGACTTTTGATGGTAAATTCTCAGTTATGTTTACACACTCACTCTCAATTTAGTTATGCTCATCATTGATAGAGGTCATTAAGACATAGAAAACTTTAAAGATCTTTGCGAGGTCTTTAATAAAGGAAATTACTTTAGAAGGACTTCCACGGATAGAAAAACTTCTTAGAGAGATGTATCATGGATTGACTACCTTTGAAGATAGAAGTCCTTTGAGAGTTCTTCTAGTTTTCTCAAGAGAGAAAACATTTGAGAGATTTTCTAAAGAGAGGAAATCTTTGAGAGGTTTTCTACAGGAAAAATGCAATTCAGATATCTTCTCTAGAATACTATTGAGAGTTCTCAAAAATCTTTCAGAAGAAGAAATTTCAAAAATTAAAGAGGTCTTATCCAAAATAATTTCCTTTGAAAGGTATTACTATATTGAAGAAAGATTCTCGAAAAGACTTTCATAAATAGAGAGTCATTTGAGAGGAAGTCTATTCTTTAAAAAATATAAATTTCAAAATTCTTGAGTCTCGACGATTATTTCCCTCCCGTTGCATGCGACATCTCTCAGTGATGTCTGCTGACATCCTCACTGAAAATATATATTTTTCAATATTAAATTCGACATTTTTCTTGGTCTAGCTTAAGGCACAAAATAACAAGAGACTGGGCTTCATTTTCCCCCATTGAACAAGTAAAGCATGACTCATACATTTGGTGGCATTGCCTCTACTTCCATTCACATCAAACGAAACTTTATCGTCTGTCACCTTTCCCTGGAATTTTCGCTGAAAAATATGTAGTCTCAAAAATAATACCTGATGTCAAAGTGAAAATGTCGTTGCAGTTGTTCGGTGTGAATTATAAAAAAAATCTACTAAAAACCACAGAAATAACCATAAAAACAACGAAATGTAAATAAAACGAACACTTCAATAAATCATAGAGCACAGAGGGTGAATGTAACCCAGTGAACTTTTTATGAGGGATTTAAAAAACACTTGATGTGATAGTTGGGTACTTTAAGTTTTTAATGAAGGGTTTTCACGAGTGGTCTTCAACGGATATAATACCTTTAAGGGGACTTTTATTTTTTAAAAATAAAATATGCTTGAGGGGTCTCTATAGATATGATTTTTTCAGGTTTTTTATTTTCGAGTTATTTTATAGGCTGAAGATCTATGAGGGGATTGAAGACCCTAGATGAAAAATCTATGAAATGGTTTTAATGGATTGAAGACCTTAACGTTGTCTTCCATTAGAGGTACTTTGTCCCCTTTAGAGGTACTTTGTGGACAAACATCCTTTGATAAGTTTTCTATAGAAGAATATCTTTAAAACTACTTTTGTAGATATGAGATAAAACCTACATAAAATGTACCGTTGTATGGGGGCTATGCGAAGATGTGGATTTGAATACGAAATTTTTAGGCATAGGTTGTAGTACTCATTACAAACTTCGAATACGAAATTTGAAACAATGTCGTTAAAAATATCAAAATACCGAATATCGGGAGGCACCGTTATACGGGGGCTATACGAAAACGTGAAACGATATGGCCCATTTACGAACTTAACCTGCCTACTGGTCAAAAACAAATGTGTGCAAAATTTTAGCCTTCTATCTCAAACCGACAGACAGACAGACTGACATCGCTACGTCGTCTTAGAATTTTACTCTGATATAGAGACTATATATACTTTGTACGGTCTATCATAAATATTTCGAGGAGTTACAAATGGAATGACAAATATGACCTCGATAGAATGGTGGAAGGTATAAAAAAAGAAACAAGTAAAAAAACATTAAGTTCGGCCGGGCCAAACTTTTAATACCCTCCACCCTAGGGTAAAAGAACATTAGAAGAAATGTGGCAAAAAACATTAAAATGCCGAATATCGGGAGGTACCGTTATATAGGGGCTACACCAACACGTGCACCTATAATTACAATGTTTCGCCACACGAACTAGGACCCATTATGACCCACAAATACCAACTTTTACACAAATCAGTGAAAAAATGTGGCATAAATCATCAAAATACCGAATATCGGGAGGTACCGTTATATGGGGACTATACCAGAAAGTGGACCTATACATGGAATGTTTTGCCACACGCTCAGGGACCCGTTGTGACCTACAAATACCAATTTTCAGACAAATCCGTGAAAAAATGTGGCATAAATCATCAAAATACCGAATATCGGTAAGTACCGTTATATGGGGGCTATACCAAAACGTGGACCTATACATGCAATGTTTTGCCACACGCTCAGGGACCCGTCATGACCTACAAATACCAATTTTCAGATAAATCCGTGAAAAAATGTGGCATAAATCATCAAAATACCGAATATTGGGAGGTACCGTTATATGGGGACTATACCAGAACGTGGACCGATATATCTCATTTTCAATACCAACCATCCTAGGGACAATACACACACTTGTGCCAAATTTCAAAGGTCTACATCAAATAATGTGGGCTCTATCGTGATTTCAACAGACAGACAGACGGACAGACAGACAGACAGACAGACAGACGGACAGACAGACAGACGGACATCGCTAAATCGTCTTAGAATTTTATGCTGATTATGAATATATATACTTTATGGGGTCTACGACGAATATTTAGAGGTGTTACAAACGGAATGACAAAGTTAATATACCCTCCTACCCATGGTGGAGGGTATAAAAAAAAATCAATTTTCCATTGATGAAACCTATAGGAACTTTATAGAATTTCCATATATAGATCTGTCTTTTAAATATTCGAATATTTAAAACCACGAATCGAATTATAAATATAGCTCACCCTGTACTACTTTTAATTTCATGTATAATAGTCTCCCTGAATGTTTGTTGGGTTACTATGGCCCGTAGAAACCAACAAGTAGTGTGTGGCACTTGCACATTCACTCATTATTCATTGAATACAATAAGAGCAGCATATACATGTTTGGATGTGTGTGTGGGTAGATTTTACCCCACTCAAATCCCCATTACCCCACTTCCGTTCAGTGGAACTA